AAAGTGGCAAATTGCAAAATATAATCATCTTGCCGTATGCCGTACTAGGCTCGGCTGTATCTACTGCAGTAGTCAGACACGGAGCGTCAGTAGTAATTCCCAAAATAAGTGAATCATATCGAAATATTGTAATTCTCATTAATAACTCTCAATTATGAACAATTTTCATTTAATAGTGTCACTTTATCTAAAGAAGTCTGCTATCTGCAGAATATTAAAATGATCCAGTTTTAATTGGGAGAAGAGTAATCATAATAATCTTGTCATCCTTACGGTTCATCTTTTCTCTTTCTCTCTCGCCTTGCCATTCTTTCCAACCACTACCTTCCTTATCAGTTGGCAACCCTTTTCCTCACTGTATTATTTCAAACTGATTTACACCCCCCGTAGATAAACCTTCATTTTCATGCCTATTTGTTTTACGTTCACCCGAGGGACTGTTACGAAACGAAAACGTAAAAAATGTCCCAACGAAATTTTCGTCAGACTTTCACAACTCGTGACGTATCACTGGTAACATATTTCACGGAGATGAAAAAAAAAAGAGGCGATTAAAAGCGAAGGAAATCCCCGGGCCATCCCTCATTGTCGTTTAGCCACGTATCGACTCTGCCTGTCAGACTATGCATATTCAGTATGTGACACGAGATCATGGAGATGCGGGCGTGCTTTCTAAATTTCACTGCAAGCATTCCGGAAAACGAGCGGTGACGCGTGCCTCGGTCTTTCGTCAAATTGAATAAAGGCTATTGTACGCTTGGGCCGAGCGCGGACTAAAAATAAACGGAACTAAATGACGAGCGCGTTTTACTGGCACGATGTAAATCGTCGTCGTTGCGCCAGTTCGCCAGAAAGACGTTTCAATTACGCGACAAGTTCGATGCGACTTCCTGGCTAACGAGTGAACGAACGAATTCCTCTGTGTTCGACGTTTCCTTAACCATTGATTTTTCTACTTGCTACCAGACATTTTTACCCCTACGTAATTTGGAAGCGGGTGGCACTGTACAATTAAAATATGTTATAATTTTTAACACGTTAAATGCTACTGTGACGATAGCTGGGATTGTAATTAAAAAGATTTAACGATTACAGAAGTCGATAGTTGTCAAAGGATAAAATAAATTGTTTAACCGCTCGGCTCGTTAATTTGTCCGTAAAAGAATAGAAAGAGAAGAGGGAGAAGCGAGGGAAAAGAATACTGAAGGATGGTCGCCTCTTCAGAAGTACTCGAAATCTAAAGTCCCCTCCGTGCCGTTTCCTTGGGGACGAAATGAACTGCATTATGGATATTCTTCAAACGGTAGTCTGCGGAAGAAGGAAAACGACAAAGCTGAAAGGAATTAATTTCTACGGTTGCAACCGGCTAGGGCTCGAGAAACGGGCCTAGCGTTTCATAGAAACGCGAGTGCCGCATTAAAATCAATATGCCGTAACTTTAAATGACGGGCATCGACTGAGAGGAAAATAGGGAAGTTAGATTGAAGGCGGCTGATAAAGGTATCGTTAGACGAGAAACGTAATCGTAGCTGACGATTAATAACGTTGCTCACCCCGGGCTCCCTTACAATTATTCGCGGCGGTCATTAATATTGTTTAACCGTACGGGTTACCGAGACGGCGGCGTTCAAGGTGCCGCTACTCCTTTCGACATTCTTACGTTTGTAGAAACCAACATCGTGTTAACTGTGTGCCATTGGAAGAAATACCTTGCGCGTACGAGCCTTTCTTTCGCGAATCGTTGTAACAGGTAAAGATATAACATCCAGATAATATTGTTCTTTCAAAAGCACAATACGCTGCGATGGGATATCAAATTACTTTGATGCAAAAAATGGATACTTTTTCAATTTCATATCTTGTAGCTATAATGGTGTAGATTGTAGATGTATATCGAAATACAGGACAGTGTTGATTTTTTTTTTTTTTTTTTGATAGTGAAAACAGCATTGACACCCTATGAGCAAAAAGGTAGTAGAATTCAGACGAGTGGTAGTCACGAGTGAGCAACGCTCCAGTGAGTCAGTTTCAAGTACGGGCACACCGTACGTGCCTTTTCATATTTCAGAGGTCCTCTCGGATCCTCCAATTTTCCTCGAATCACGAGTGGGTGCCGTGTTTCGAATTTTTGAATTACCGTTCTACGTACCCTACTCGCATAATCATAAGTTCATAAATTAGCTTTTTCTTTCATGAATTATTCATGTATTTTCGAAAATTTTTCCTGATCACCTGATTTTGTATACTCCGTTCTCACAGTCTAACAAATTGCCAAATTAGAATAGGAAACAAGTAAGCATATTATGACAGGGTGTATCTAACGCATTTCCTAATTAATAATCGGCCTCTTGCTCGACCAGCCTCCATCAAATTAACACCCATCCTCATTATCATCGAACCTATCCAATTCTCGCGGGATGCTCAAAAGAGAATGATTGGGTGAGTCGGTGCAAAGTAGAAGCGCATCGGCAATTCGCATGCGAGAGAGACGGTTCCCGTTGGCGGGATAAAGATAGAAAATGAAGAAAGAGGGGGGAGGAGAGAGAAAGAGAGAGAGAGAGAGGGAATGGCGCGAAGAGCGCGCGAGCGGTGGCGAGTGCCGCGAGTAGCAGCGATGTGGGTCAACCGCGAGGCGACCGCGAGAGGCCCCGAGGGTCGCCGAGAATCGGCGAGAACGGCCGAGCGGCAATCACGTTGCGCGCATCTGGGTCACCGGCGTCCCGACGCATGCGCTTTTCCCTCCCTCGGTCGTTCACCGTTGACCAAGTTACTAACCTTCCGACACCCGGTCGCCAGTTAGCTTCTCGTATTGACCGCTGGAAAAACGTTGACTTTTCTCGCACGAGAAACCCGTCAGAGCTTTTCGTCGGCTTGCCAGAAGCTCGAGGAAGCCGACCATGCAACCAGCCCGATCAGCAGCCACCAAATATCCCGCACGATCGTTACCGACCATGCTAAACGCTTTCAACCTGCTGATAATGGACGTTAACTCGGAATATATACCGCGGCTATTAATCGTCGTTCGCAGGATAAGCGTGCTCGTTGGACGTCCGTAAAATCGAAGCGACTCGCGTTAACGGCTGATAAGATCGTCTGGAAGACGGGAAGTAAATCGCGAGCGTTCTTTTTGAAGCGGTCGCGTTTTCAAATAGCAGATGTCGCTGGAAGATACGGCATCCTCGGCGCGCCACGAAATACGCGTACGCGGATCGATCGATTTACTGAAATTAGACATTTTCTTGACGAGTTATCGGCGAACAGAAAGATACAGCTCGGAACGACATTGGTTAACGAGCAGATGCGAATCGATCCCGCATACGGGACCGGTACCGTAGTCGATGCGATTAATCCTTCGCGTAACGGGGTACGATTTATCCGCGATGCGCGCGTCCGCTGTAAACCACGCGCGACGAAAATACGTAATGAATGACCGGGAGAAACGGAAGACAATGTTTAGCCGGTTGAATCGGCCGATGCGTTTCCGAGCTATTCGCGTCCGGCGCGGCCCAAATTCAAAAATCTTTTTGGGCGATCTTGGCACCGCTCGAACGTCGATCGACCGTTCTGACACACCGCACACCGCGAGTACGTACACAGCGGTGGCTTCGCAGTGTCGCAACCGTTGCTACATCTGAATTCGCTTAAGGAAACTGTAACGGTCATTCTTGTCCGCGACCGAGCGGGACTCCTTCGCAGTTGCGCACTAGGTCGCCTCAAGGGCCGTTTGCATCTCTCCTTCTCGTGTCATTACGTAATCCACGAGATCGGTCATCCTCGCACCGATTCCCTTTTCTCCCGATGCATTTAGTTCAATGTAACTCTTTGGTCGTAGAGTCCCACGAGTGGTTAGATTTGGCCCGCATTAGAAGCCCATAGGTGTAGACGAAGGGATCGATAACCCGATGGGTCGTTTCGAACGATTATGTTCAACGTTCCTTGCTACATATTCGATCGGTTCCTCGTTTCCTGAAGGTATGCTCCATGGTTAAATTGATGGCGGCAGTCGGCGATATCTTAGAGTTTCCAAACTTTCCAACCCTCGGCTCGAATATATCGGACGCTTCTACTGAAACATTCCACAAAGTTTTTTCCACCGTTGCAGCAGCGTAACGCACTTCAAACAACGGCTGTTGTCTCCGTGCGAGATAACAAACGATAGGGAACGTATTATCGGTAACCCCGATAAAATCTGGCCGATGCAGCGGAACGGATCGTTCGTCAATTCTAATCGCGACACTTACCGGAGTCTAGGAAAAGATGGAAAAAAAAAATTGTCTATTCGCGAACGTTTTCTGCGAACGAAGCGCGGGTTGGAGGAAGGAAGGGAAATATTAAAAGCGTACGGAACGCTTGCACTCGTTCATAAGAACCTACCTCCATACTGATTATTCTATAGCCTGACCTACATTCATTCCGAGATTCACGCCGCTCGCGACTACCGACGACAAACGTGCGCTCGCTTCAGCACGCAACGTCTGTCTACGTGGAAGAAGAGCGGAGCGATAAAAAAAGGAAAAGGAAGGAAAGCATGTGTGTATACAGATAAACGGAGTGCAAGAAAAGTTGCCGTTTCGAATGCACGTGGACGCGCGATAAAAGCGGCGAAACGTCATCAACGGTTGAAAAGGCAGGCACAGAATACTCGGTGCACGAAATTTTAACTTTCCAGCGGCGCAGGTGCAACGAGCGTGCGGTGAACCTGCGAAACGAAACGATTCTAATTACGATGCGTGGTGCCGGGAAAGTTTACCGCGTCACCCTTTAAACGCCGCCGGATTAAGTCACAACTTACGTAACGCTTGTTATTGTTTCGAACTTAAAGGGGCTGACAGAGATGCTTTCAGGGGATTCTAGAATGGAATTCCGTTTTTGGTAGGCGCATAGGTACGGTGGTATGCTTTCTTATGGATGGTATGCAGATTGATTCGAATACGCTGCTAATTGAGAGATATATTTGGTAACTTTCAAAGGGCAATTGGATAAGAATGAGACGACGGAAGTTGTTCGAATTGTACTTGGTTTATTTCAATTAACACAGGAAAAATATGATTAGTGATACATTGCTCTACATTTGGGAGCGGTAATCGTCGTTATGAACGCAATCTGACATTTGACTCTTGGGTGGCTGGCCGTTGAATTGTTTTCGTGTTTCCTTCCTTAAAATATCAGGCTACTTCGTCGGTGTACATCACGCATCATAAATGATTGCTTCTTCATCCGTGTATATCGCAGGAGACAGCAAGAATTAATGCTGTCACTTGGTCGCTTCCTCGCTGCGACGTCTGACATCGTTTTAGCAGGGCCGCGAGGGGACAACAAACTTCGCCGCGAGTTCCTAAGTGTCATGGAAATAAACATCAACTTCGGCCGTGCAATTTGTGCCAAGTCTGCAGGTTGTAACGGAGTTACGACCGATCGAAGAACGGTTTCGACATTCTACCATTTACCTTCGTTCCCGTTCACGATCGTACACGGGACATCGTTTCTGATTCACCCGGTGTAAATTTACCCGACAGCTGATCGCTAGGTGCTAGCGATTGGCTCGCGGCTCGGATCATTCGTGATCCTCGAGTTCATTCGCAGCTAGATCGGACCGATTTTTCGCCATTTACGGCACCAGCCTTCTGACCTCGACGGACATAAACGGGCATCGAGCGAGACTCGGCCAAAGAGTACGGTGTTCTCCTTCTGTCTCGGTAATAACACCAAAATACCCGTGGCGCGGGCACAAAGGCAAAGGGAACGAAACTGAAACAGGTTTGCATTGTAAAGAAGCTTTAAAAGGGTTACTGTTACGTAAGTTAGAGCGTCTCAACCGGAACCATCCAGGGTCCAATAATTTTCCAAGGATTTTCTTAAAATTCCTTCTGACTTTGCTGAAAAATTATTCATTTTTGCGGAAGCACTATGGACCCGTTAAATCGAAGAAGGGTTAATATTGAAAATGGAAGGTTTGACTACGATGAGCACCTCCAAGCGTGGATCAAGTGCGAACTCGCGTTTACACTGTTTTCATGCGAAACCCGTGGATACGATTTCCTCTGTCTCTGCATCCTCTGGCATGCACGGCTCGTTATCGGCGAGTGCCGTTTATCGTCTTCGGCTATCGGGCCATTTCATCGTGTAAATTCCAAGCGCGGCAACGCAACGGTCCCGTCGTCGAACGGCGCTGGAACGGCGCAAAGAGACATATCGCCGGGGCGATTATTTATTTGCGAAACGTATTTATAGAGTATTACGCGGCACAGGTTGGCAACCTCGTGCACGGTTATGCAATAAATGAGAGAAGGAGCGAAAGGGACACGGGCGAGGAGGAGGAGGAGGAGGACCGAGGGAACGGTTCGAAGTGAGAGGAGGCGATGCTCGGGGCCGCGGGGGCAGAGACAATAATACGGCGAAGCGAGAGAGGGTGGAAAGAGTGAGAAAGAAGGACGGGGAGTAATGTTGGCGAGGGTGGGAGAACGTCGAGCCTGGTAGGGAGAAGCGCGCGCGTGTCCGAGAGAAAGAACGAACCTCCGAAGGAGTTATTCGGCGACTGGAGGGCGAGGGAAGGCTGGCGGAGGGTGAGAAAGAAGTGTACGAGAAAAGAAGGGTGAACGGTGGAGACACGGCACGCGGATGGGTGAAAGAAGAGAGATATACATGGAAAGAGGCAATAACTTGAAAATTCATGCTGGAAGAGAGGGCCAAATGGAGTGGCGTACGAGGGGGTGGGTAGGGCTCGTTGGATGAGGAAGAGAGGACAAGGAAGAACGACGATAACGCGTGACGATAATGTCAATGTGAGAACTTAAGACCGGTAAAAAATTGCACACTCTTTCCGTGAACGAGGTGCAGTCGTTTAACACCGGTAACGGGTGTAGATTGGCCGGTACTAAGGAATTAAGGTGTCGCTTGTAAACGATCGTTTGTACTTGAACCTTTGAACCTTGATTGCATTGTAGCAGACACTGTCAGGAATGAAAAGTGCATTACCGCGTACAAAAGGGCCGCGCGTTGAATCAAAATACTTTGAATGGACAACGGCGCACGTTGCATTAAGTGCATTATGCTTGGGACAAAAATGAAAGTGACCTTGGCACAAATGCCTAAAGCGTACGCCGATCGTGGAATCGCATTAACACTGAATATAAATTAAAACCGATTGTTACGCACCGTGTAGCAATCCTGCGTCGGCCAAGATGCAATAGTTCAATTGAAAGAGAAATTGTGAAACACGAGAAGTTATAATTCCTCCAACGACTATTGCATTCCATCTGTGCAACGAAATAAAAAATTACCGGTGGGAATATCGAGCCAAGGTTACTTGAAACTTGGGTTTTTAAAAAATTTATTATTCCCAGAAAAGCGATAGAAAAATAGTGTATCATTCCCATTGCATTGTCGGTTCTACTCGTTACATCAAGAGCCGCTCATAAAATTCCGCTGGTATAAAAAAGAATCTCTAGGTCTATTATCCCTAACCCTAAATCCAGCAAGGCAACGCGTTCGTGGTCGTGACCGCGTCGTGACTACTCAATCAAAGTTGAAGTTGTAAACGGCGGGAGTGAACGGAAAACCGTGATGGTTCTTTAATTAGTCGCGGCGGCGGTGGCCCCGTCGCTCGTCCCGAAAGACAAACTTTTCGGGGCCACAGTTTCAGAAACACGATACGCACGTGTATTTAGGAGACGGTGCCCTTAACGAGTCGCGCTAATAAAGTTAACGCGGCGCGTCGTACGAAAGGAGATCGGAAAGCCCGCGTTCCACCGTCGGGATCTACATCGTGCGTTTCCGGGATCGTTCGGAGTTGCGCAGTCGATGATCGTAAGGTAGTTTCCTCGGTCGGCGCAGCTCGGTCAGCTTCGGCGTTGGTCGCGTTGCGAGGGTGGTGGGGGTGTTGTCGACTCGGCGGGGCGAGGAGAGCAAAGGGTGAGGCACTCGGCCATCATCGGCGGAGGCGCGCACAGTTCAGTGACCCGACGCAGCGTCATTCGTTGGAGGGGAAGCGCGGGGAGTTCTGACATATTGTGAGATGCCAACTCGCTAACGCCGGTCCCCGAAAAACACCTCTATCTTTCTCTCTCTCTCTCTCTCTCTTCCTCTCTTTCCTTTCTAACGTTTCTTCTCTCTTGATCCCCCCTTTTTTCCTCTCTTTCCGTCCTTTTTTTATCTCTCTCTTTCCCCCTATCTATCTGGCTTTACTTCTTCGATGTCTTTTTTTCCCTCGGTTACTCCTGTCTCTTTCCCCTCTCCTCGGTTTTTCTATCTCTCTCGTTATATCTCTCCTCCCCCCTCTTTTCTTTGTTTCTTTCTCCTCCCTCCCCTCTGGATGTTTTTCCATCTTCGTCCGTCACGTTATCTTTCTCCTTTGTTCGTCTCGTTTCTTCGCCAGTAACTCGGCTCGCCCGTACCGCCGCGAGGTTCATCAAATCCCCGAAATATTCATGCGACAGTCGCACGAAGTTTCCGCGAGTTTTTCCGACCTGGCCCGAGCAGGAAGCGTGTCGGCGCGACGTCGGATAAGGAAACCGTACCGCGTGTCGTTTTACCGCGGATCGACCGCATCGATCGAATCCATCGATTCGATGTGAGTACATACGTGCGCGTTGGAGCGCGAGACTGCCGAAATTACCCACGAAGCAAGGAAACGTGGAGGCATCGTGTGCGCGTGTGTGTACACAAGTACACGTGTGCGTGCGTGAGTGCGTGCCAGTGGTCCCGGTCGTACGACGAGTACGTTCGCCTTCGTCGTTCGTCCGCGCCCGTACAACCAAGCATTTTCCTCGTTCGGCCTTCTTCGTTTCTTTCTTCGCACTGGCCATTCTCCTTTCTCCCCTTTCTCTGTGTCCCGTGGCCGTTGCTCCAGCACTCTACCCGTCATCTCTGCTCGAGTGCACCGTGGCCGGTTCGAGCGAGAGCCGCGACCCGCGTCTCGGAATTCGTCGGAAGGTCCACGAAATTCTCGTCGCGCTTTTCGTGCTCGATGGAACACGGGGGAACAAGGAAGAGGAGGACAGTAGTGTCGTGGACGTGTTAACCGGAACCGTAGTTGGTCCCGTCGTCGTTGAACGTCGCATTCCGTGTTGCGTTCGTGTTGAGTGCAGCCAACAAAGTGATCATCGTCGTGGCTGGAAAGACTCCAGGTGGAAAACACCGCAACCTCCTCCGTTTGTATGCGTCCCGGCGATTGTGTGTGCCTGTTGTGCGAACGTGCGTGCCATCGTACGTCCGTGTGCACGCCTGTTTACGCGGACACACATATTACGTCTTACACGAGGCGCTTGCGCCGCTCTTAACGACGATTCGCGCGCGCCTCTTTTCGCGTCGTGGGAGTTTCGTGGCGCGATTAAAACGATCACGGCTATTCGCAGGCACTCGCGCGATCATTCGGAGCACCGTCCACCAAAATGATCGGGAACCGTTTTCCTGGCTTACGGAAACAGCTCGAACAGCCATGCTCGGCTGTGAACTTCCTCGACCCCCAGCGACGGTAAACGGAGACGAAAGTTGACAGAACTGTGGTAGCGGGTAACGCGAGGAAGATATCGCGTCTCTTATCATCGAACGATAGATGCCGCGAGATAACGATCCGTTATGATTACTCGTCTATGCTCTGACAATTCGATGTTACTCTACGATAGAGTTTGATCGTGTCGACACATCGCGCGCGTACGTGCAACACCCGTTCCCTGTTTCACTTTGTCATAACGAGTTTCTCTCCATTGGTATTCCGCGCCATCGATCTACGGAAGCCACTTTGCGTTCCCAATTTTCACGCAGCCGAGCTGCGACACCGCGTCTGCCCGTAATGGCTGACCCTACGGCTACTTTCTACTGAATTGTCCGGTAAACAGACGCAAATTCTACTGGGCCGGTGATCGAATCGTCGATAGCGTAGGAAGGGTAACCGAGTGAAATATCGATCCGATGTTTCCTCGACGTCGTTGAATATTCCTAGCTGATTTCTCTTCTCGTCGATTCGATTCACACTCCGAAGAAAACGTACTTACGTAAGGATGAAGAAATACGGCGGCTACCTTTCGTTGCTCGTTAAAAAGAATTAATTGCTTCCAATAGTCGTAAATAGGGGATCGTTCAATCACAGATCGTTTCAGTCGCGAAGACGTGTTTACCTTTGCGTCGTTAATTCTGATCGATTCTCCGAAACGCAATTCTCAAATCCCATTTATTTGGATCGACAATTTTTCGAACGTTACGCAAGGTTTCCGTTTTTATTTGATATCTTTTATCGATATCATTTCCTGGCTAAGCTATTTCGATCGCGTTCAGAGAGATCGTTTGTCTCGGATTTCGAGGAAAATCCCTGACGAGCATATGAAAACACCTTAAATTAAAGCTAGAATGCTTTTAGCGCTTCTGGCGTTGGTCAACACGTATAATAGTCTCTTCGAGCGACACATTTTATTTCAATCTTCCCCTTTCTCTGGTGCGTCGTAAAATCCGATGACTCGTCTCTTTCTCGGTCTAACTCCCTCGCTTCGAGTTAGAAACAGCCCGTACTGGAACGATCCAAGGAAGTGGTTCAAATTTCGTTATTTCCGGATATGTTAGCCGCGGTCCGCAGACCTCAGCCTTTAAAATCTTCAATAAATCGCTTTAAAGAAGCTACGCGACGATGAGATTTCAGTTTCTGAATGCGGTACTCTGTTTTATTCGTCTCCTCCGCGTCTCTCCGTCTGGAAAATCTTAAAGCAACCACTCGAAGGAACTCACGTAGCTACGTGATTAACTGGTTTCGACTTGGTCGTCTTCCTTGCCAGTGGTATCTTTTCGCTGTCCGGCTCGATTTATTTATCCTCCGCGTGGTATCGCTCGAGACATCGAGCTTGAACTCGGACACGACCCGACGGAAGACAATGCAACGAGGTGGCATTGATTTTGAGACCAGGAAACAGAAGATTTTCCGTTTTGATCAAAATTCTTAGAACCCCTTTGAACGTATTAAAAAGGGTTAAAAAGAGTTAAATTCATCCCTCTTTCATTATCGTCTTTTCTGTAATTGAAATTTCATCGAAAATCATAGGTAATTTTTATCTTCGGGAATTACCGGACTACGTCTATTCACGGAAGAAAAGTTTCAGCGAAGCCATTGCGCGATGACGTGGACACGTCAAACGATATCTCGCGAGCGTTTACATTCATTCCGGTCGTTCGAAAATAGTCGCAAATTTAGCGATTTCGATAACTCGGGCTAATCTGCCATGTTCCCCGCTTGCTGGCAGACGTTAGCAGATCGAACCGATAATCTCGAATGGAAAAATCACGGCGTCGTGAATCTATTCGCGAGCGAGCACGCGAATGGCGGTTCGCAAACAAGTCCAGTCTGGAGAACATCCAATTCGAGTCTCGATAAACGCGAACGTCAAACATTGGCGTATGTTTCCACAATTTCGCGGCGGTCTGGTGTGCTCGTACGCGCAAGGTGGGAAAAAACGCGGGGGTGTTAAAGCCGGGCTGGACAGTGCGTGTAAGCAGTGCACAAAGTGGCTTCGATTTCGGGAGTTCCGGGTATAGCAAGCGGCGCTGTGCACTCTCTTCGAGGCAACGGCATGACGCACATCAAAGATGCGAGCGTGCCGGGTGACTGTACTCTGGGTTCATCGTTCTCGGTTATGTAATGTTCGACCGTATGGTGCAAGCGCCTCGACGCTACTCGTGGCGCTAGAGTTGTCGGACGAGAGCAGCACACGATATACAGACACGGGCCGCATCGAATCCTCTTCGCTCCAATACAGTAGTCGTCCGTTCGTGTCCGAACGATGCGCACACAGACAACCGTGCACCGTCCTCCTTCGCACACATCCACCAAAACGTCGTTCTTCCTCTCGCTCTTTCTTCTCCTCTCTATTCACTCTTTCCTACTCTCGCGCGCACCCTCTTTCCTCCGTCTCGCTTTAGCGCCCTCGCAGCACGATATAGACGCCGCATTACCGAGCTGAGAACGAAAATAGAGGGCAACGGGAACCGCAACTGCAGCAGCCGCATTTCTTCTCTTTCTCTCGTTTCTAACCCTCCCCCCTCGGCTCTATAGTTTCCACGCATTTTCCAACGTTTACCGAAATTCCGCGAAACAGGGTGGATTATTTTGATCGCTACCGCGAGTTACGCTACAGGCTGACCTCTCTATTAGGAAAAAATGCGGTTTAGGGAACGAGGCTTCATCGTTCCCTTCAATAGTTGAAAGTTACTATGCACCAGACCTAATGGGTTAGGTCTGGCTCAGGTTTTCTTTAGTATTTATTTGAATGCAAGTGGATAGGCTGATTTCACGCTTGTTTGATTTATAATCACTGATTGTTAAGTATTGAAGTCTAGCCTAATAACGAAATGACAAAATTTCTTGCATAATTTTTATGCCTCGTAACTAGCGATTGATTTAGGGTTGCTCGTCGTTGGGATCGGGGTGTATTCTTGGTCGAAATCCAGGTTAGAAGGCGTATAAATAGGAAGCTTCTCTGGAAATTATTTTGGGGGAACATTTCGAAAAGCATCGAAAGGTTTTTAATACTAAATTCTATTTCCTTTTCCGTATTTCTTTCATTAATATTGCAATTGTCGAATACAATCGTGTTATATAAATACGATCGTATCATTTAACCAGTGCAACGTTCTCTAAGAATAACTTGATTTTGCAGCGTTTTGAAGGGAGCCAGTTTACAGTGGCACGGTGAGATACATTCGAGAAGGTAGAGTGTCAGAAATTTTGTGCTCATGCAGCTCCATCGAGCGAACGGGAATCGGTTACGCGTCAGCATTAATTTTCTTCGACGAACGATCCTCTTCAGACCACGGAGGAAAAATTCTCCCCGTCTACCGGGGACATTCCATCCCGTCCCTATCGGGGGATATGTCGTGCAACATGTTCAACAACTAGCACCGGTAGTGTTCGATGAGACAGCATTTTGATTGCTTCGAAACTCTACGATCGTTCTGAAACGTCGTTAAAATTTCCTTGTTGTACGATGAAACGACAGTGTGTCCCGGAGTGATCGATAAATGGTTAAAAGGAACGACCGAGCGAAAGCAAGAGAAGCCACCGTAACCGTGTTCAAAGTACGAGTTGTTAGTGAATTTTAAATGAAACACCGAAGCGCGGAACGTAAATGGAGGGAAGTCTCTCAACATTCGGTGGGCCAAGCTGGGGGGCGGACAGTACTAGTCCTCAGCCACCGGAAACGTCGAGAACGAGGGCGCCAGTGCAAGCTCCGAGTCCAGAGAACACCCTTTTGGACGATCGTAGGCACCAGGTTAATTCTATACGAGGTACTCGAAGATGTAACGCTCTTGAAACGTTCTTACTTTGAATTTTAACTTTCTTCCATGCGAAAGAGTAAAACTTTATTTTATTCGACGCACAGGTACGAGAAAGATATCAAAAGATACATTTTATTATATTTTTTAAAGGAATTGGAAATATTATTCATAAAAGATTTTATCTGAAACGTGCAATTACGATATGCAAGGAAATGTGTATTCTCTTTAAAAAAAAAGAAAATAACTGAAACGCCAAAGGGGTTGTTAGAATTTTAAACTGGTCTTCGAACCATACTGAACATCTCGTTGAAATAATTTTATTATTTTAATGATTGCATCCGGAATGCAAGACCACGAGTTATGGAAATTCTTATCCCCTTATCGTAAAGTTGTAACGAAAGAGAAGAGTGAAGTTTATGGGAGAATTTAAAAAGTACACTGACCCTGTTTACCACAAACAGGAGGATATCTTTGAGAGTGGATCCAGAATTACAATACGGAAGAAGTAGTGTTTCAGCTCGATTGTGTTTATAATATAAAGTGGACGGTTTCTTTCTAGCCTTGATTTTCCACTAGAAATACCGAGCAATTTTTATCTATCCCGTTATCGCGTCACATTAAAGTGATACGAAATCTCCGTCGAGACCGTGGCAGATAGTTCACGATGCGTTCATGCAGTTTGCCACGGTGTTGCATCGCGATAGAATTCATAGTCCAGCATTGTGCGTTCCAATCGAAAAGGTTAGCCATAAATACTATGGCGTGATGAACTTCGACGGGATAGGAGCGAATGATGGTATATAAAATGGAGGAGGCAAACCACTTCCTCTTAGATACGCTCCGTTATCGCGGAATGATGAAACGGTAAACAAATCTACCGATTTAAATGTCCAACTTGACAATAATTATACATTAGTGAAAATGAAGCAGCGATGCTTATAAAAATAGCCTCGAATCAATAGCGATTGATTAGTCGCTAATGTATTGGAACGTAATGAAATTTCATCTGTAATTGTCTGGTACTGATCGATTTGCTTATTTCTGATTTCAGCCCAGATCGAAATAATCCCGTGCAAGGTGTGCGGCGACAAGAGCAGCGGCGTTCATTATGGCGTGATCACCTGCGAGGGCTGCAAAGGCTTCTTCAGGCGGTCCCAGTCGTCGGTCGTCAACTATCAATGTCCACGGAACAAGAATTGCGTGGTCGACCGTGTAAACAGAAACCGGTGCCAGTACTGTCGGTTGCAAAAGTGCCTACGCCTCGGCATGTCCAGAGATGGTGAGTGCATATCGTTAATCGGAGGCTGAGCTCCCTCGGAGGACCTCAAGGTTGCTAGGACTAGCATTAGCTTAGCTTTTCTAACAGAGGCGACGTAATAGACGTCGCGTCGGTGAAACGATGTCACGTTGTGGGCAACTGATTTGCAGATGCTCGTTGATTAATAGACGCTCGTAATCCTTTGAATAGAATATTTCATAGAAATCATCGAGATACAATAGGATAAATAGTAATCGCATTATTAATAATTTATCTAGTCACGATGATCGTCTTGCAATTATTACACAATAGACTCCCTAACGAAAGGGGTAACCTCTCTGACCCGACATACGCGGCTGCACTTCATCGATACATGAATTTCTATACGTCTGAACTCTAGCTTATATAACTGCTTCAAAGTTTATCGATACGACACTCGACTATTAAGACACAAGGATTCACTATTTCAACTGCAGCCATGAAAGACATAGTCGAAAATCTAGAGCGTTCAGTTGGGAGGAATTAATTTATTGTTCGGTTTGAGAATCTTCTTTTTAAAAGATTTATCTTCAATTAGAGATTCGAGGAAAAAAGTTGAGAAACGAGTGAAACGAGCGATAATAGTCGGGAGAGTCGCGGTAGGAGAGCTTTGCAACGATGCAACAAATCACCAGCGCCGATATGAAAAAGAAATTTCTTTGTTTCGAGCATTATCGCGCGTTGAGTTACCCGACACGTGAACGTGTTCCCTCTGTGCTACGCGTTTAATGCGTATGCACTTCCAGCGTGGAAATACGAGCCAGTAATTGCGAAGGAACGTACTCGCGAAATTGAAAAATAGTCTTTGTACGGATCTGAAGTACATTTGGCTGTATTTTATGATAGTACATTTGTATTTTTATCACCTTTCGATGTTACAAATTCACTCGCGAGGTTTGTCGAGTGTGGATGACATAAGTTAAACGCTGGCACGTGCATTTGGCAAATGCGCATTTGAAATTTTATGCACTCGACTTCGAGTTATGAAACTCATGGACGTACGCTTCCATAAATCATGGGACATCTTACCATTTTTAGCCCATAATTTTGGTATTTCACACCATGCAAAATTAATAACGAAATTTCAAATGCAAACTATCGATAGATAAACATTTCCTGTATACACAGGGAATTTCGATCGTTTTACAAGATTTATCCATTTTCAGCTAGCAATCTCGCGAATTTATACCAGATTCATTACCGTGACGAAGTCGCTGATAAACATTCGATTTACAGTGGCAGGGAAAGCAAATCAGATACACGGGGATAATAGCGGCCACGCGTGCCGCTCGGGGTGTACGACCCTTTATCGGAGGCTGGACAGCCCTCCTCTCGTCCCAACACCCCCACACGCTTCATTTCTCTCTCTTTCACTCCTCTCGATGCAGTTAGGCCTCTTACCGCGTTGCTGCACCTTATCGGACCAAGTACACGAACTGTCTTGGACACGTTAACTATATTCGAGCGTAACCAACTAGACCTGCTTTTCTGACCATGCTTTAGCAGGTTGTTTTTAGATGCCAGAGCAGATTTGTCCGAGAATTTGCCCTACTGGCAATGTCATACATAACGGGCAAAGTGGGCCCATAGGAATCTTCTTTTTCAAGAATTTATATTCAAAAATTGATAAATTTATTTCTTTACATGCGTGCAAGCTGATTTGAAAACAGACGCAATTTTATTTAATTTGATGCTACAAGCGTTGAATATAATATAGCAGTTGGTTTATGGGATAAATATTTGATGGTTAAAGGTGTGGTTTTAAAAAAAGTTGTAGGTTTATGAGATATGATTATGTGCGGTTATTAATCTTCATTCCTCGAATGCCACCTTCAGACTTGCTCGATGGAACTCTTTCTTTTATCTCTTATGGGTTTGCATAGGGTTTACTGCTTATCTTCTTAATAACATGGTTCTTTACTTAGGATGGAGAGTAATGATTTAAAAGGTTCAGGGTGATTTCGATTTTTCAATTCGGAAAGGAAAAAATTGTTGTTGTTATTGTAATAGAAATAGCCTTATCTAATACTAATTTATTAAAAATATTCAAAATGAAATTTTTAATATAACCTTTTAATTTTCTATGCTACTCAAATGTTAATTAGAGCATGTTAAAATGTCCCATAGAATCTATTTCGTTCATTTTTTTTTTGCGAATGTTTGTACAGTTCTTGAATGAACACGCTCGCGGTTTTCAGGTTTCTGTCGTTAGATAAAAAGGCAGGTTTGATAAGCACTAGTCGAAAAGCAGGACGTTGCGGTCACATCCGAAATAAATTGTAACTCTTTTTATTTTTTTATTTGCAAACACGTGTTTCGTTGATTAATCGCGAACAAAATGTAAAATCAAAATATTGTACAATGAAGAATCAGTTATTTTCAATTTATGTCAAAGAATCTAACAAGGGGAACTACCCAAGTGTTACACTCACTTATTAATGAAACTTTGCCAGCTTGTAGAGCTCGTCGAGCTGAACACGCCTATACCCCCTTTTGGGGGCAGACGGCTAATTGTTTAAAAGATATTAACAATTACAGTTAGTTACTCCTTACATTCTGAAGTATGACAAACTCACAGATACAACTCGCAATCTAGAGATCCACGGTTCAAATCCTTGGTTCCCAACATTTTTTCTTTTTTTTTATGATAATTTGTCTCTTTTTGAATAACTATTACATAAAAATTAACATAAAAAAAAAAAAAAAAAATTTTTGGCAACCAAGGATTTGAACCGAGAACCTTCAGATTGAGAGTCATGGATCCGCTCCGTAGTTAAACACATGACTCGCAATCTACAGGTCCTCGGTTCAAATCCTTGGTTCCAAAAAAAATTTTTTTTTTTTATAATAATTTTTATGTAATAGTTATTCAAAAAGAGACAAATTATCATTAAAAAAAAAAAAAAATGTTGGGAACCAAGGATTTGGCAAAGTTTCATTAATAAGTGAGTGTAACACTTGGGTAGTTCTCCGTATAAGATCTCTGCTTTTTGCAGAGAAGAATTATAAACATCATCCTTCTGAAAATATGACATCGTTAAATCCTCTTTCTAGTAGCACATTACTACCGCGAACTTTGATCTCTTCATAAATATACAGTTTCTATTTTCTTTAATTGAAGCACCACGTGTCGCGATTTGAACCCAACACGTTTTCCTCCTGCGATCGTTGACACCGAATCGTTTAACGACTGTTCGAGAAGAGAGAATCGATATCGACTATCAATTTATCCGCGAGAGAAGGGTGATTACACTTAACATTTTTCATCGTCACTCGTATTTTTTCTAAAAAAAACAAGAACAAACATTCAGCTTCTGAACAACCTCCATGTCTCATTCAGGCTCGCTTCTCGAATCTCAGCGTGAACGTTCCCACGCTTCTTCCTTAACCCTCCCTACCCATCTCCGAATACAAAAATACGCTCTCAAAATCCGAGTGTCCAACGGCTCATGGACGTTCCTCTCTCGGGTCATTGACACCGTCGCATTCGTCGAATCCAACCGTTCGAGTAGAGGTGTGCTCGCACCTCGTGGTCCCCACTAGTCGAATCCCCATGAAAATATTGTCGAACGAAAGAAGAGCATTTCAAATGAAAAGAAAGGAGACAAGGAGATCCTTCTCTCATAGACAGGTTTACTTTTCATGAATTGGGATGGGAAAATACATATTGGATGGGTAATTAAATTCGTCATCTTCACATTTTTCTTTCTTTATTAAAATTCAACAAATAGTAATTTTACAGCAAAGTACCATAATAAATTAATTTGTACATCATTGAACTTATCTCGTGTAACTTATGTCATAAAACGTAATTTGAAATAAGATAGCCGGAAATGTACGTTAATCCTTCTCCGAGCCTTTTTATTATCCAAATTGCCATACGGAAACTCGTTGCACGAAATTCTGGCAAGGGATGAATGATTCTCAAGCCTATAGACAGATTTTACTGTATTTGCGCTGGTTGATAAGAAAGCAGTCGGTCGTCTCGGTGCAGCGTGCACTGCACGCTCGCACACGCTCAGCAGAAAGTGCATCGTGTGCTACCGGTGGCGCGCGCATACTCTTCCTGTTGTCATCTCTTTCTCATTCTCTCCCCTCGCGTGTTACTTCTCTCCGTCCGTTATTCACGATCCTCTGTTCTCTCCGTTGCTCGTTCGTCGCGTTCGGTCGATCACCCTCCGCTCCTACCTCTTCGTCCGGTTCGAGCTTCTCTCTCGTTTTCCTCCGCACTGTACGCGCGATCCCGATAGCGGTTCAGCTGATAGCTGACGTCGCGCGTGTTCTATCCCCTTTTCCCGGCCCTCGTTTGCTCCTACTTTTCGCAACACCCTCCGAAATCGCGATTGACATCCGAGCTGAGCGCAATGACGCGAAGAAGATTCTCTAATTTGGGAAAAATTATTTTTAACGCTTTAGAATCTCTGTATTAGAGCGACGGAATCTAATTAATTAAATTGTAGTCAAATGATCCGTACCATTCACTTACCTGGGTTTTAATTAATTATAGATTTCATTACTGTGCTACTTTAGATATCTTTGCTGATCTAATTTTTGAATATAGATCATCCTCCTTTTGTCAAATTTAATTATTAACAAAAATTCGAAGTAGAGCAAATGACAATGGCTGTTCCGTTCGAAAGAGATCCCGGACACGGATGAACTTGAGAAACTGGAGAACACGGAAGAAAAAGGAAGACGTGCGCGATTCAGGTTCCAGCGGTTGTTGAACGCTCGCATGACGTAGTGTATCGCGATTGTGCGCGCGCGGACACAGTTTGCCAGTGTTTCGCGGTGCAATGACGTCACTCGGATGGGTGGGTGCATCGGAGGCGCAGCGATAACGACAAAGAGGTCCGAGAGATGCAAAGAACTTCCGCGTTCTTCTTCGAATCAGAACGTTTCTTTGGAGTGTCGTCGAGCCACTTTAGACGAGACACGGGCAAGCACGCGCTCGCGCTTCGATCTTCATTAATCTCGCTCTTCCGAACCTACGATCGGATCGATCCTCCACCGAGCGAGTCAATTAACCCGGATACAACGATCAACTCACTGGATGATTTATAAGGCGATCTCCGAGACGATCGAAATACCGGAGAACCGGATCAGATCAAAATTAACGATTCTCCTTAGAATGCATCGCTCGAAAGAGTGATTATGGATTGCGAATCGGTAATTTGGATAATTGATGCGATTCTAGATCAATGAATTTTTGTATATGATTACGTGTCTGGTACAACGCAGGATATCATGGACTATTTAGGAAATCTTATTATTCTATTCTCAATTTTTTTAATTATAAATAAATTGAATTTTCAATCCGTCGGGGATGGAACCCTGCGATATTAGGTGCTTTGCGTGGGCAATTTTTAAGTAGTATAAGGTGTTGCGATCAGACGGTCTTTTCGCGCCAAGTGCAAATTATTGAGGGGGTTAACGACGATCATCGGTGTACTAGGATGATTGATAGGTAAAGCTATAATCGAATGATATGATTTTTTGCAGCCGTTAAATTCGGGCGCATGTCGAAGAAGCAGCGAGAGAAGGTCGAGGACGAAGTTAGGTTCCACAGGGCACAAATGAGAGCGGCCTCTGAGACGGCGCCCGACAGCAGTGTATTCGAACACCAGACTCCGAGCAGTTCGGATCAACACCACCCCTATAACGGCGGGTAAGCGATTCTATAAACGTTTGTATCAGATGAATATTAATTAATTTTATATCTCCACTAAACCCTTATTTAGTATTACGCTTTATCTTGCATTAGAATTTAGGGAGACAAATATTAATGCAAACTTGTCACTAGAAATTTTTCAATTTAAAAAATTTTTAGTGTTACAAATGTTCATTTGAAACTCGTATGTCTCTGCAAACACATTTTATTCCAACTGGTTTCTGTCCGTATGTTAGTCACGCTGATAATATTGAACCGCTAACAGCACATTGTGTCATATAACAAAGGAGCGTCCATATATTTATTAAACTGTGAGATATCCGTATGACAAATGAAACGCCAACAAAACCATATCCAATTGAACGAAACGCCGCATTCGCGAACGGGCAACAACGGTACAGGCAATCACGGTCAATTTGATACTTTAGATTAACGCGTAGCGTCGATTATTTTCAATTATAGATGTTGTAGTTTGTAATGGTACAATAGTACAAAGGTTTCAATTTCGCGTGATGTTATAGTGCGATTTCCAAATAAAGAAGAATCTTGATAAGATAAGTAAATTGCGAACCATTCGATTCGACATCGGTCACAAGTCTAAACCTATTGTAACTATATTTAACTAATAGATACGAGTTTCTTATCGACGTGTTTTTAGATTCCAACTCGTATTAACGAACGGGATACTCGATATTTTTACTATAAGTCTCACAGCGGTATAACAATAATAACAGTCCAATAATGTAGAAAGTAATACTAATCATTTTTTTTGCAAATTAGAGATGCCGTATTATACTAAATAAGTAGATTTTTGTGCAAAATTAGATTTTAACCTTTAAATCGATGTGTCATAAGTGCCATTTTATTATATTTTTAAGTCATCAAATCTACACTTCAAAATCAATCATTCGATGTACATACAGTATCGAGCACAGTAGGTTTCCCTTGAGAAAATGATATTAATTTTGACGATATTTACATTAAAAGTAATTTAGATGAAGGAATAATATAATTTTTAATTATTAAATTTCGCATAATTTCCCATAATTAAGAAACATGCACAACATAAATATCAATCCAAATTCTCCCGCATAAGCATGCAAGCGGTGATCGGCCACAGACCTAAATAAGGAACCCCTACTCCCGCACATCTTCAGTCTCCCCCGGACCGTCAACAGGGTAAGGTGGGAGCCTGAGGAAGTTTACAGGCAAGAGGGGGTTTCGCTATAATTTTTTTTTTTAGAGAAGTTTACTATGCTCGGTACAACCACATAATATATTATAATTTACAATTGAGAACAAGTGGAAAATAAAAAAAATTGATTAAATTAAAATGATTTTATTCAATATGGAGTACATTTTCTCATCGTTATTTTGATGTGTTCGCGCAGGTACGCGTATGGCGGTAGTGAATACGCTTCTCCCGGTCCCGGCACGGGTGGGTCGGGTTATTACAATCATCAAGCGATGACAAACTACGAGCTTAGCGCCGATTATGTCGACAGCACGACGACCTACGACCCACGACCGACGCAGACGCAGGTCGCGGACACTGTCGCCCCTGATACACCCTCCGCTGTTACCGCGACTGGGGTACTTCCCAGCGTGGTCACCACCGGTGAGTGCTCTTTTCTGAACACTTTATCATTTTATTATACAGTCATTTTTGTTGTCTCATTGAAACACGAACATCGTGCTTGCTTCTCCCTTTCCTTCTACCTCAGTGAAATTAAAATAATGGTTTCGGTATGTTAATTAGACGTCGCTTCAAGGGGTGCACTTTTGAAGTGAGGTCCCTGTAATCACGGTATAATGTAAAAGGAAGTAATTTAAAAAATTTTATTTTTTTTTTACGAGAGATCTGACTCTTCCTGGTTGTACCATGATTGCCAGAACACTGAAATTCAGTGGCATGAAAATATTTCATGCAGAATTTTAATACGAAGCAATTTGAGTAACTTGTGAGTGTATTATCAAAAGTGAAGAAGATTTTAAAGACAGATATCTTGGTGTCTTAAGATGAAGCAGAAATAAATTCCTGCCACTTGACATTCAGATCTATCGTTATGTATCATTGATTTAACAACCACATGTCTTCATGTTTGCTTTCAAACCATCCTTTCCTCTGCTTTATTAATTTTCAATGGTAAAATAAAACGAAAGACACTTTCTGTAACAATTTTTTGTACAAAGCGTCACAGTGGAATAAAAAGATCTTAAAGCTGCTTGGACAAAATCATATTATATTCTTACAAGTTTATTGCTATCTGAGAAATAATTTTGACTTTCGATCGAATGCAATATGAAACTGCTCGACCGGCAGACGAAGCTGAAGCCGAGCCAAGCCGAGAGTTTATAGTTCCATTGAAGTTTATTGTTAGCGAAAGAGCGGTAACAAGATGTCAATCGATGAACAACCAGCGCCAAGTAGTACTGGTCCCTTTCAGTAGCACGCGGCTGATACAATTACCGTGTTTATCACTGCCAGTTCACTGCACGCCGGCTTCGGTGAATAATATTGATATTGTAGCTCCGAGTAACGCAACAGTCATAAAGATACGATTGAATTGTCGTTCAGGAAGCGTGACGATGTTGCAGTTAACGTTTCTACAAACGAAACGGCTTCGTGTAAATTGTTTGTAACCAGTGCAACTTCCATTGACGCATTAGTACTTGAATTGATTACTTTTGTACAAAAAGTTGTTACGCTAAAGTAGTTGTGATTCATTGTCACTTTGACTGTCATAGTGAACATAATTGTAAGTAGTACGGTGTATGATAATAGGAATGATAAAGGATGTCATTATTTTATTTTTTAACCCTTGAACAAAACTTACAACCTATAGTTAAATGTATCATTTTTAAACGAAAGAGTTTCATATATTGGAAGAATAATTTTTAAGGGAACAGTGTAGAATTTAGAAAATAGAAATAATATATGCTTTATGCCATGGACTGTTCACTGTGACAGCCAATTTGTTACATTTATTATCACTGATCCTTAGAATCAAGATCTAAACTATTCAGCTATTAAATATTCATTTCTAATCTCCCTCCCTCGATTCACTACTACATTACATCTTTCTCTTCTAAATCAGGCTATTCCAACTGTATTTATAAAAAGCTATCTACATCGTCCTTGCAATGTCCAATCCGTCTGCCTTTTCAATCTATCAGCCATCCATCGAATCCAACGTTATCCGAGCGAACCGACAGAATCCTCATCCCTCCTTTCCATTCGTCTACTCCGAAAAAAGATGAATCGCCCTGTCCCACGAGGGACTAAAGCACACCAAACTAACCGCAACAAAATAAAATATAAAAAGAAAGAAAAAATTCAGACAGCAAAGACCGAATGAACTTTGACTTTTCGCGTATCCAGGGAAGTCGCTGTCTGCCTCGACGACTGGAAGCAGCACGGGGGGTAGTGGTGGTGGTAGTGGAGGCGGCGGAGGCGGTGGTGGCGGTGGTAACGGTGGTGGATCCGGCGGCGGTGGTGGTGGTGGTGGTGGTGGTGGTGGTGGCGGGTCGGGTGGTGGAGGGAGCGGTTCTGGCACTGGTGGCGGTGCAACCGCCGGTGGAGGAGGAGGGGGTGGTGGCGGTGCCGGTTCCCTGAGCGGGGGTGGAATCGTTGCTGTGAAGCAAGAGACCACCGTCGAACTCGCCAGCTTGGGCCACGGCTCGTACACGATGGTCGACTCGACGACCTTTCTGAGCGGTCAGCAACAGAGGGTCAGCAATCCATCCGAGGACGACGAAGTGCCGAGTCTGCCCAGTATGTCCCATGCGAGATGTGAGGTTACGTTTGTGTCCCTTTGCATGGGCATGCGTCGCGCTCATTTTTTTTTTTTTCTATTTCCTTTCATTTATTTTCACTTTGTCTTTATTTTTTTCTTTATCGATCTCTTTGTCGCTGATTTTTCTTTGGAATCGTGTCTTTAAATAGGTGTCACTTTTCTTCGTGTATAGCTGCCGCGAGAGAGTACGTTCTCCTCGTTGAGTGTATAGGGGCGTGGACCAGGGCGTGAGATATTTTTCGTCTGTGCACGTTCGATGCTTTGTGTTGCGGTATGGTTGTTCGGTATTGTTCACCGTGTCGATTATTCAGATTCTGTGTGCACTTCGAGGTGACTTATATGCTGATTAGCATTGATTAACGTGGAGTTTAATGTTGCTGTAAATGGATGTTAATGATCTTGGTTAGGATTGGGGTGAAGGGTTAATTAAGATGTGGTACTAGAAATAAAGAAACACGGGTATGTTTCATCTTATTATTTTTATTAGAAGTTTTCATTCATACATATTTCTCATTTTTATTCTCGCATTATTATACTGATATTACCTTTAAATTTATTTAATTTAAAATTTTCAAATAATCATAAAAACGAATCCTAACAACGAATGATGTTCGATCGTTGTTTTCGAAGCTGAAGGCAACTAGCAAAGGTAAGCGTAACTGAGAGTGAGTAACTAGAGTTTACAAAGGAAATTGAATGAAAGGAGCTGAATTTCTCGATGCTGATTCTTAGTGATGAAGCAAGGGGTCGTTTAAAGTTGCCCGCCTTGAAAGGCAAAGTCAAATGGCTCCGGTAACTGTAGCGATAATGTAGTTTGAAACTGCGGTAATTATTGAAATTTATAACGAACTCGACGATCAACCTTCTCGACGGTCCACATTGGCCCGCGTAAACTTAACCTGGAAAACGTGTTCTCCTGTTTCGTATCGTTACGTAATATTCACAACAAAAGAGAAACAATTATACATGTAACAGCAATCGACTAACTTCAATGATTATAGTTTGGTTTCTTTTAACAATTCTGTCGTTTTGTACGTGTTCGTTTTGATACATGTTAAATGTGTTAAAGAATTTGTCAGTCTTTTCTGTGTTCACGTTTGATAATGACACGTCTGTGTAATTGTGTTGAAAAGATAGATAATAGTGATCGTGTTTTCTCTGTTTCTTTTTTTCTGTAAACGTTTCTTCGACGACTATCGTGGAAGAATAAAATTTCAACCCGACATCCTGATGGATTTTCGTAGATCCGGCACAAATCAGCGAGTTGCTTTCAAAAACGATAGCGGATGCACACGCAAGAACGTGTCTGCTGTCGACGGAACAGATCCAGGAGTCTTTCCGGAAGCCGCACGACCTCTCCAGATTGATCTACTACAAGAACATGGCTCACGAGCAGCTATGGCTCGAGTGTGCCCAAAAACTAACCACCGTTATCCAGCAGATCATCGAGTTCGCCAAGATGGTTCCTGGATTCATGAAGCTCTCGCAGGACGATCAAATTGTTCTATTAAAGGCTGGTGAGTAATCCTAATCGGAAAATGGAAAATGAAGCATCCATTAACCCTTTCTAAATTATGATTTTATGGAGATTTTATTTTCTTTATTTTCAATTAAAATTGTTCATTCCATTATATTTCTTTAAAATGAATTTAATTCTTTTAAACACTTGGCTATGTTATCAACGAAATGTTGAAGTATAGATTCGTATAATTTGACGGAATAGCCGAGATAAGGGCGCAGTTTCGTAAACAGGAATTATGTAAAAGTAAATTTTAATTACCCGCGTATGAAGTTGGTGTAAACATTGCCGGAGCTAAATAAATACTCGCGCAGTCGCATGTTTTATCGCGAAGGAAAAAACAAACCGAGACATGCGAATTGATAAAAATGTAATTCCTTGTACGCAACCGTCGAGCACTTGTTAAAGCATCGTAACATTTTGTTTCGAAACTGTGCTCTCATAAATCTTGAAGCTAACAATATTTTTCGCGATATTTATAGGTTCCTTCGAGTTGGCTGTGCTACGTATGAGCAGGTACCTCGATCTCCAGCAAAATTGCGTCCTCTACGGTGACACCATGTTACCGCAGGACGCGTTTTACACGACGGACACGGCGGAAATGAAGCTCGTTTCTTGCGTGTTCGAATTGGCCAGGAGTATTGCCGAATTGAAGCTTACGGAAACAGAGCTGGCTCTTTACAGCGCAGCGGTTCTGCTTAGTCCCGGTTAGTCAAACTTTACACATTTTTATTAATTAACTCCTCTGTGATGATAAATCTTTAACCGTAGACAGAGGTAATAAAAAGAGACAGCAGTAGATTCATCGAGTCAAACAAATACAATTATATTTACCTTTCAAACTTTCTCGGTTCTTATACTTTGAAATGATTTATCTCTTTTATAGTTGATTGCATTGGATGTACATAATTAATAAGTCGAAATCTTTAGATTAATTTTTCTCCGAATAATTAATTTATGAAATCGTATCTCTATTCACTCGTGTCTTCAATTAGGCACAATCTAGATGAGGAAAACGTTATTGAAAGACATACGATACACGTGATCGTCTCTAACGACTAACAAACGATAGTATTCATAATAAATCTCGTGTCAAAACAATCCACGCGATGATCCCACGACTATCGTCTCGGTCCAGCATCCAAAATAATCCAGAAACCAGTCAGGATCCCTAATTATCTCGAGCAGACCATTTCCTTTGTCAACAGCTCATAAAAATAATCACCGTTTATAAATACACTCTCAACGTGATCGTCCACACCCCTTCTCTCTCCAATGAGATCGAGGAAAGGAACGAGGCGAGACGCGCGTAAAAATCCGTCGATGGTGTACCAGAAATAAATCCGATCCAAAAATAATCATTTCAGATCGACCGGGGCTGAAAGGGCTCGCGGAAATCACGAGACTGTCGCAGGCGGTGATCAGGGCGCTCAGGTCGGAGTTGGATCGCAACCACGTGTCGCCCATAAAGGGCGACGTGACGGTCTGCGACGCGATCCTCGCGAAGATCCCTCAGCTAAGGGAGATCTCGCTTCTGCACATGGACGCACTGGCGAAGTTCAAACGGTCGCAACCGCACCTCGAGTTCCCGGCCCTTCACAAAGAGCTTTTCAGCGTCGACAGCTGAACGATCGACGCGGCGCAGAGCGTCCCGACGCTGACGAACAAAGCGGTACGCGAGTAGCGCCGGGCCTTGCTCTGTCAAGGTGAGTTCCACCGTCCGGAAAAAATAACAAAGAAATGGGAAACGACCATGGATAGAAAGAACCGCGACGACGCCTGACGACGAGGTTCGATGGTTCGTCGCTCACCTAGGAAGTGTTCGCGTAGACGTTTCTCGTTTTTAGGGCCGATCCTCGATGCCGAAGATACGAGGTCTCTGGCGACGCGGAGGTGTCGAAGGGTTCGGAGAACGTGGTGCGAGTAATGAGGCTATTCGTTTGCTTTCCTTTCTCGTAACATAATACGATGGATTCAATTGATCAACTGGATGGCTGGTTCTTTTTTCGATCGTACTATTATTATTATATACACACGCGTTCGTTGTAGCTTTAAACTAAAGGGTATGCACAGAAAGAAGGGAACGGCGAAGGAAAAGTTGTTGTTAGATAGATGGATATTTGTTAATTTATAGAAACTCGTGTTTCGTTGTTGTAATTTAATTCCGACTTCGTAGCGACTTTTTTCTTCTTTTTTTTTTTTTTATAATTTAACCAGAGACATCGTTGTATGCTTAAGTACAAAGAGATTTATCGTCGTTAGAAAGGAACAGGAGTTTGATGAAAGAAGAGATATTGTTTTTCGCTCGTCGCTTGCACGATCTTCTTTCAAGCCCTTCGATTCTTTCGGACAGACAAAAGTTAAGATCCTCGAATCGAGGAGTAGCATCATTTGCATACTCGAATTAAAAAACGAACGAATGGTTGTGTCACGTAGTGATTCCATCTAGATCTGTTGCTCGGTTCGAACGAAAATGTATAACGATAAAGCTGGGTTATTTCGTAACAGAAGATAAATATGAAATCGTCGGTGTTATCTTGTAAGACCTGCGCAACACGATCGTTAGGACAATCAACCGATGACTTCGTTTTGGACTTCGATATTGCTGGATCTTAAGTTACACTGCAAGCGGACCGGCTTTAAAAAGTCGCCATTTCGAGCGGGAGACAAGTAACTGCTTAGCTGCGATTGTTGTAAGTTTCATTTGTTTCTAATTATTTGTTATCCGCGAACGCGCGTAACTTGTATTTTTTCGGTCAGAAACTGCGTAGTGCTGTTATTATTATTATTATAATGGTTACAATTATTATAATTATTATTATTAATACTATTTACTACTATTATTACCGTTACTATGATTATACGATTTATTAATATTTCTTTTATTTTATTTTATTCTTCTGAAAGCTTTCGTTTATTTTTTTTTTCTCTTCTTTCATTATGTACAAACTGCTGTAGGATAATTCGTGTTAAGTTTCTTTCTTTTTTTTTTTCTCTCTCGTTCATCTTCTGCAAACAATTAATTGTTACTGGTTAAGTGAAAGTTACCTTGGTGTTTCTGAAAGAAAAATACAGGGTTCACGAGTTAACCGAACGCGATGCAACGCAACGCGAAGAACGACAGTCTACCGGGTTTCTTTTCGTTTCTAATATTTTTCTATTACTCGTACTGGGATATTTTTTTTCATGTTATCGCGACACTTGTTAACTTATTCTCAGCCTCTATTATATCATCGTTCAACGATACATTAATTATTGCGTTAAGGAGAAGGGATGCACACAAGAATCGAATTATATACACCGTTGAAAAACGTCCCTTTATTAGGATGATTTTGTATGAAATAATAAAGTATTATAAGCGACCTGATTACATGATTTGCTTCATCATATACGAGACTCTGTAATTATTGAATAAACATTATGAATTGTTATCGTTCGCGTTTCGAGTGTAATTTAATTACTTTCAAACTCGAATCGAGCTCATTCCAGTGTCAATTGATTATGTAACCAATTTCTCGTTGTATATATTCTGTAAAATAATCGTGTAAATTTGTGTAAACGTTTCATTGGGTATTTGAATGGGTTTATAAAGGACCCGGTAGGCTCGTTGCGATCGGTTTATCAATGTTTCATGCGAGTCGAAAGTTACTTGTTTCTGGTCTACAGCGATCCTTCCTAGGGAGCGTCGATGAACGATCGTGTGATGAATAAATGCAGGATAATTAGAAGGAAAAATGCGACAGCAAGAGTGTAGGGAAACGGGCGTGTCGAGGCAATTAGAACATTAATAGATGAACGCGGAAGGCAATTATGTGCAATAATTCTTGGCGAACGAAAAGGGTGAAAAATAAAGAGAAGAGAATGACAATTATCATTTCTGTGTTTTATGACATTCTTTACATTCGGCGAAAAATATTAGAAATTAAATTATCAAATTTTCGTCGCGTCCGGATCTCCTCGGTCTGACCATATATCGGGACACATCTACTTGCGTTCTTTTTCGCCTCGATCGGAATCGTCGCGTCCGTGGGTTACACGGAAGGGGTGAAAAATTAAAACGAATAAGAAAACAAGAGAAAACACTTGGACTCGTCTACTCGACTGAATAGTTCTATACTCGCGGTGCTTACGACAGGGAGCAAAAGAGGTACAAGCGTTTAACCGTATATTCGTCTCCTTTCTGTTGCAGATTATTTCCTTCGTAATGAACGTATTGGGCCTTAAATAAACATAACATTGTTATATATAAAGTATACATAAAAAAAGCAACATAAAGTATATATATATATATGAAAGGTATATATATAGAAGTATATATATATATACAAATATGAAATATATTATATATATATATATATATACATATATATATAGAAAGAGAGATTGTGAACATGTATGAATGCTAGAAAGCGTGATACGTGTGGGTGAAATAAGAATAAAAATGAATGAAAATACGCGCGAAAGAGAGACGAAACGATGATAGGAAATTATAATGAAAATAAGGGAACGTGCGAGAGCGAACGAAAGCTGCGTGTGATAATAGTAATTAACGAGAGAGAGAACTGAGAAATATCGGTTGTTATGATGATACATACATAAAGAAGTATATATATTGTATTAATTAAAGTAATGCAAAAAAAAAGTGGTTAAATAAGAGCCTCAGCTGGGACGATCCATGGACGACGTAGATGATAATATATACATATATCTATATAACAGGGGACTGGCGTGTACGGAGGAATTTTGATCGGTCCGCCGATCGTTGCATAGAAACTGGCATACATTTAACAAACAAGTAAACGACGCAAAAAGATGAAAAATAACCGAAGAAAATAGCGATTCGACGAAGATTGTAATTCGACGTGGTGCACGGCCGGAGATCGCGTCGGCGTTTCCTGCAACCGTATGCAATTTTAACAGAATATATTTGATGAGAATAATATAGAAAGAATCAAAGAAGGATACCGATGCTATGTCCGGCTGTCAAACGTCGTTCAACTTCGTAGTAGTGGTTCGCATAGTTTCCTCTGAGCTACTTTAGACTCTATATATGTATAAACACACACACGCATCTATATATATTATAAATATATATATATATATACATATTAAAGAAAGGTGAAAAACGAGCACGATTCGGCGGTGCGAGCAAGATTCAACGGTCCCTGTGCTTAAAGAGAAGATTTAATTAAACACAGAGAAATAAAGAAATGAAATGAAGAAGGGTTAGAGAGACATATATATATATATATATAAATAAATAAATAAAGTTTTTGTCCATGGACCGGCCTGATCGGCTCACGGACGCAACACGTGGAAATGAAAAAGAATAAAGGAACACAGGCACACCGATACACACACGATATACACACACCCGCAGCGAGACTAAAAATGATAGAAAAAAAAGAAAAATGAAGAAACGACTAAACGAATACACAATTTTACATACACGATGCCTGCGCGAGCGCGTAGATAGAGTTTAATCGAGGTAACGTTATGTGCGCATTGTAAAAGTTTTGGTACTGTACGGCACTGTATTGACGCGTCTCTTTATACGTAAACACGTACTTCTTAACTAAATAATAATCCATCGCCGCGGTGAAGCCTCTCGAAGCGTTTTTTACGCACCGTTACCGGCTTTCCTCGCTTTCGTCGGCCAGGCGATGCCGGCTTATCATCTGTCGTGCACCCCGAGCGTACGCCAATACGATTTTCCAACAAAAATTCAGACGATTACGGAATCATTTCGCTCGTTCTAATACGTCGATGGGTTGTGAGGTATAAAGAAAAATTTGATAAAATCCAAAATTTTGTAGCTGGGTAAATTTTCAACCCCTCTAGCGATCGCACAAATTCTTAAAAATTTTCTCATTTATCATTATATCATACACGGTGCCAATTTATTAATTTAGATCCTTTAGATCCTCTTTATCATTTCGAAGAGATTTTATTATCACAGCTCCATCAATGTATCGAATGTAAGGTACAATATTAGAAGACTTTCAACTATGATCCTTTGCATCCTTGTTCCGTGTATATTCAATCTATTTTCCCCTCGATTAAAGACTATCTTAAAGACACCGTTTACTTACGATTAGAACTGTAAATGTTATTAACAATATATCTTCTCGTCGTTAACGCAATAAGTAAGATTAATAAACGAAAGAGTACTAAAACTTGGAATTAGAGGTCTAGCTGGTAACACGGTTCAACAGGTGCAAAGGATCTTTCAATTCGTATTCATTCAAATTCTTCAATGGAAATATAATTAAGATTCGTTCATGAATTTGCAACCCTTTCGTTGCAGCAATTAATCTTGGTACCAGGAACACGAAATCTCAGCACGATAATTTTTCAAGCAAACGAAAGGGTTCGTGAAAATCGCGTTGGTTCGGTGCTCGAAAAGGTTTATGGGACCCGCGTGGCGGCCCCGTGAGACACTTCGTGGATTCAAGTCAATGTGATGACGATCAACGATCAATAGCTTCTTTCCTTTCGAGAGACGTCGTTCGTCGCGGCCGCGCCTTTCACTTCGTCGTTTAAGTCGATTTTTTGTACGCGATCAACGATTTCCGGTTGACACACGATTAGCTGGTTAATTAGTTATTACGGTAGGGTCGTCAGCGTCGCGCGAACGACACGGTCGACCATTGATTCGCGATCGTCGCCGATTTAAACGTCGTAGAAACGCGACAACGATCGGGTGACAAGTTGATTTTAGACGATCTACCCCGCGTTTTCAACTTTCTATATCGATCATCATTTCTAGCTGATTAATCGACGAGTTAATCCCCGTGAATTAGTTGCGTTCGCGACGTTCCTTTCGATTCACCGGGGAGGATGTTGTATAGTTGAATAAATTTTACAGTGAGTTGTTTAAAAATTTTATTATAATTAGGTAAAAATGATTAAACAAATCTTTAGGTAATTCGGCTCGAATATTCGGCACGATGTATACCTTTAAATTCGAATTTATTAATAGAGAATTTATTAATTATTCAACTATATCATTCTGTCCGCAGCGAAACGTCGTTTAGTCGAATTTAACGCTAAGTTCGAGTTTCGTAGCGCATCAGCGAGCCAGGTCGATACTTTACAGTTACAAAAGTGTCCCACATTTTTAGCGCAGCTTAGCAAGACCGCATAGCGTGACCGTAGTTGATAGACGTAACAGAGTTTATACATAAGTTTCATCGTAAAGTATCGTCCATCGTTCGCGCAAGGTCCTCCACTTTTATTGTAATTTAACAATGACACATGGTCCCTCGAGCAGCACCGAAAGCGATACCACCTTATTGTTATCGAACATCGGGCGAGTTTTTCTATTTGCGAGATCGTTGTATTAACGTTTCTATTACACACCCGTGCATATATGTATATTGTTCATCGCGTGTACCATTCGTTGTCGCGAGGATGGCTACTCGAGGGATTACTCGGTTCTTTAATCATCACTTCGAATCCTTCGAAGGAGTCGAGCGACGTGTCGAATGAAAGTATAGAAAGAGCTTCGATGAATAAGGGAGACGTAGACAAACAATTATTTTTGAAAGAGAGACAGAGAGAGCGAGAGAGAGAGCGCTTTTAGAAGATAATTCAAAGGCGAAACTTAGTAAATCATTGAAAATGGAAAGAGAATGTGGTGATTGTTTTAGCCCGAATCGTTTAGCATCGAAGAGAAACGTAACGAAAGAAAGAAATTAAAGAAAAATAATTGATACTAAAAAACTAGAGAAAGAAGGCTCGACGAGAGCGATGGCGAATCCGTCACGGTGCGCCGACTGACACGTTTTCGGACGGTTTAAATATACTTATAGCGAAATTAAGAAATGCATATTATTCTGCCGATTAACGAGTAAGTGCGTAGAATTCGTTTAACTGTAGATAAAGACACGTACACAGTCACGTACGCGCGAGTGCAAGATACATTACCACCTGTAATCGTTCACCCACAAACCACCCACCCAGCCACCCACCCATGTGTACACAGCGTACAAATACACATATATCACACGACACGTGCAGACATACACAGACACATACACGGACACGAACACGTACATATACTTAGACGTCGGAGATAATCGAGGTACGGTTAAGAGAAAAAAAAAAAGAAATATATAAAACGAAACGAATGGATAAGAGAACGTGAGAAAACGAGAGAAAGAGAGAGAGAACGAGAATAATGGGAGATATTAAAGAAAAAAAAAAAATAATAAATGCAAAACACACACACACAAAGGCGCAACACGTACACGCGCACGCACGTTGCAATTAGACGTTATTATCGCAATTTGGAGTTAAATTTTATAATATATAATATATAAAAATATATATATAATAAATAAAAGTTGACGGATAATATAGAGTTATATTAAATATCGATTAAAAAAAAAAAAGAAGAAAAAACGAGTGGGAGAGTTGTCTTCATTAGGGTGGCGCGGTTTACGCGCTATCGACTCACCTTAATTCTCTGACTTTTTTAATCCTTTTAACACCTTCCACGATTCCTTTTAAGGCAATCTCATCGCGACCCCCATTTTCCATCACCTTTGGCTTTCTTCTCTATTTCGTCATTGCATTTTCTTTTAATGGATACCTTTTTATTTTTATAACGGAAAGATTACTTAGTTGAGAAGTAGAAGCTTGAGAATATGAAATTAAATTTTTATTTATTAAGTTATTATAGACTTAACCCTTCTTTGAATTCTCAAATTTGATTCCATAGCTAATTTCGCTAAGGCCATTACTTAATTTAAGTAGCAATATAAGTGAAAATTAATTTGCATCAAAGTATGTTTAATTTAAAGTTTTACTGAACTATAGTGGCGATGAATTGCCATAGTAGAAACAGACGACTGATTAATTTTTAAGTTTAACTTAGCAGTTTATTATAATACAAGACCGAAAAATTATTAGGATAATTATTTGACAAACTTATATTTTGAGAAGACCGCGTAGAATTATTTTTAAAATTCGACCGCTGCGTTATCTATACAAAAGCGTCGGAAACTACTCAATAAATTATCGACTAAACTTCCGACAATCGGTAAGTTAACAAATAGTTTGCGCCACTTTTATATAGATGGCATTTAATGGCTTGAGGATATAGTAAAGAATGAATATTCATAAAAGTAATTCCAATTTGTTTTAAATATAACAAATGAACAATAAATATAGTTTGAAAAAGGTGGCGGTGAGAATAATCTTGACAGCGTAATCTTCCTTATCGAAATCGACGCCAGCCGCCACAGCATGGGGTGTTAATTAATAAATTAATTATTGAATCGAAGAGTAGGTATTTGTAAAAATCAAATTTATATTGAAACGCAATAATTACTTCTTAATATTGTATAAAAATTAAATAATTCAAACAAATTTACCGGATATCCATGTATAAAAATTATAAAAATAATAAATTTCAATAGATATAACAATAATTTAATTAACAAACAATTGTAAAATTAAAAATAGTAATTAAATAAATTTGAATAGAATAATCAAACAAAATTTTGCAATATACCCACGCGAAAATTAAAGAAATAAACAATTTAAATAGATATAACAATAATTTGATTAAAAAACAATTGTAAAATTAAAAATATTAATTAAATAAATTTTAATAGAATAATTATACAAAATTTTGCAATATACCCACGCAAAAATGTAAAGAAATAAAGAATTTAAGTAAATATAACAATAATTTGATTCATAAACAATTGTAAAATATAAAATAATAATTAAATAATTATTAACAAATATCAGGTAGAAATATAACTGGCCGTGGAACCGGTGAAGCGGAACGTCACCCTTGATTGGGCGCGCCGCTACACTATTGTCAACAGCTCGACGAAGAGCGACCTGGAGAGGGGTCAAATCTAGTCAGTCTTATCGCGACCGCCGAAGGATACGGATCAATCTGTCAAACATATACCGGTACGGGTTGATACCATGGATATTCGTGCATGGATTTATTAGTGTGTTACTATATGTGTTAGTGTGTGTGCCTATGGTGTTTCCCATGTGTTTTGGAATATTTATACGCATACATTAGTGGGTTTTATGGTGTGGTCACCCATGTGTTTTGACATTTTTATACAAGTGCATTAATGTGCCGTGTGGTGTAGTACCCCATGTACCTGCATGTGCTTTACTGTATTTTATGGTGTAGTTCCCTATGTGTTTTGGCATATTTATACGGATTTATTAATGGGTTTTATGGAGTAGTACCCTATGTGTTTTACTATAATTTTGCAATTTTATTGTGTCTTTTGGTTTTGATCCTCATGTGTTTTGGGATGTATTTGCATGTTTTACCGTGTTTTATGGTGTAGTTATTCCCATATAGTTTTGCATGCATATTTTTGAATTATCTTATGTATTAGCATATTAACTACAAGAAATTGAGAGAAAACATATATCGTTCAAGAATCGTGATTTTTATGCATTCAGATGAGTGCTTTGGCCAGTGGTATACCATTTCTTTGACGAGCTATGGGTCAGTCATGAGTCAATCGTGAGTCAATGTAAGATGCGTGGCGAGTGCAGTGGTGCAAGTCAACGATCGGTGAGTCGCATGCTTTAAAGTTCCTCCGGTTCCCATCATGTCGTAGGACGAATGGTCCGTAGCGACACGGGAATTGGTTGTAATTTTTACTTTTTGAGCGAGCATAGTGACCCACGAATATCACTGTATCATTTTATACAATGATAATCGTGCAAATTGTGTATTTTATGTGTCTTTTTTGTGTATTTTATGCCTTAGCTCAGGATAGGGTTTTCTTGTACATATTTACACATATAGATTTCAAGTTTAAAAATGTAGAGAAGTCGGATGACCCTCCGACTTCACAATACATTTTCTTTTTTATATGTACAAGAATTTATTTCGCGATGAGCAGATTTCAATATCAAAGTAATAAGCATGAATACTATAAATTACTATAACTACTTACTTTGATAACGAAATCGCTCTTGAAATTGAAACGTTTTTCCGATTTGACTCGTGAAATTGGCATCAGTTTAGTATATGGGCTGGCCCCCAGAGGGGTCGGTATTTGCTCTTCAAGCATTGTATAAAGTTCTCCTTTCGAACTTAAAATTCATTCTGTCACGTTCACGGTTCTCGACCCTAAACACTCATCATTCGCACTTCAGCCTCACGAACTCTATCACATAATCATTTATCCACCCGCATACGCTTGTGTAGTGAAATATTACCCCGTTAGGATTTTCAAGTTTATGTAGTGTTGCGAAAAATTTTCAATGCGAGAATAAATATTACCCCATAAGGATTTTCAAGTTAAAGTAGTGTTGCGAAAAATTTTCAACGCGAGGGTAAATATTACCCGGTTAGAATTTTCAAGTTTAAGTAGTGTTGCGAAAAATTTCCGGCGCGAAAGTAAATATGACTATACACTGACTAGTATTCGGTGGGAATCCTTTTGGTTTTTATTTGATAAAATTAGTTACAAGGATTCCGCGGCATAAGACCGTGAACACCACCTCATGGGAGATAAAACCATGCATTACTAGGCCTTTTCAGGCACAGCCATAGAGTACGGAACATTTAAGTATGTTGCAACCCATACGCTAAGCTGTCTTAAAGTCCTTTTGCCTATACTATTAGCGTCCACCACTCGGACACGTTGGATGCAACGTGTTCGATGGGTGGGTAGCGCTCTTAGCGAAGGGGTGCACCCTGCCTGGGCCTAGAGCCTTAAACAGGCGGGGTGGGTGGTATGTAGCGTCGGGCATAAGTCCAGGGGGCCTAAGAACCTCCGTTGCCAGCTGATATTAGCAGTGGACGAATGTTGAGTCATATTTGCTCAATTTTGCTTTTCAGTATTTGCTCTTCAAGCATAATTTAAAGCTCCCCTTTAGTCATGTTGCTAGATCAGGATTTTCTATTTTAATTAGTGTTGCGAAAAATTTCCAGCGCGAGAGTAACTATGACGATGCACTTACTAGTATTCGGTGGGAATCCTTTTGGTTTTTGAACTCAATGTTTTATTTAATTAATCAAATTAGTTACAAGGATTCCGCGGCATAAGACCGTGAACACCATCTCTGGGAGATATACCCATGCATTACTAGGCCTTTCAAGGCGCAGTTTAGAATGTGGCGCACATCCATATGTTCCATTTAATAAACTGCAGTCCTTTTGCCTATACTAGGGGCGTCCGTCAATCTGACACGTTGGATGCAACGTGTTGGACGGGCGGGTAGCGCTCTTAGCGAAGGGGTGCACCCTGTTCTAGGCGGGGTGGGTGGTATGTAGCGTCGGGCGTAAGTCCAGGGGGCCCGAAAACCTCCGTTGCCAACTGATATTAGAAGTGCACCATTTTTGCGTCATAGTTGCTCTAATTTGCTTTTCAGTATTTGCTCTTCAAGCATTGTAGAAAGCTCTTCTTTCGTACTTCAAATTCATTCTATCACGTTCATGGTTCTCGACCCTAAACACTCATCATTCACACTTCAGCCTCACGAACCCTATCACATAATCATTTATCCACCCGCATACCCTTGTGTAGTGAAATATTACCCCCTTAGGATTTTTAAGTTAAAGTAGTGTTGCGAAAAATTTTCAACGCGAGAGTAAATATTACCCCGTAAAGATTTTCAAGTTTATGTAGTGTTGCGAAAAATTTTCAATGCGAGAATAAATATTACCCCATAAGGATTTTCAAGTTAAAGTAGTGTTGCGAAAAATTTTCAACGCGAGGGTAAATATTACCCGGTTAGAATTTTCAAGTTTAAGTAGTGTTGCGAAAAATTTCCGGCGCGAAAGTAAATATGACTATACACTGACTAGTATTCGGTGGGAATCCTTTTGGTTTTTATTTGATAAAATTAGTTACAAGGATTCCGCGGCATAAGACCGTGAACACCACCTCATGGGAGATAAAACCATGCATTACTAGGCCTTTTCAGGCACAGCCATAGAGTACGGAACATTTAAGTATGTTGCAACCCATACGCTAAGCTGTCTTAAAGTCCTTTTGCCTATACTATTAGCGTCCACCACTCGGACACGTTGGATGCAACGTGTTCGATGGGTGGGTAGCGCTCTTAGCGAAGGGGTGCACCCTGCCTGGGCCTAGAGCCTTAAACAGGCGGGGTGGGTGGTATGTAGCGTCGGGCGTAAGTCCAGGGGGCCTAAGAACCTCCGTTGCCAGCTGATATTAGCAGTGGACGAATGTTGAGTCATATTTGCTCAATTTTGCTTTTCAGTATTTGCTCTTCAAGCATAATTTAAAGCTCCCCTTTAGTCATGTTGCTAGATCAGGATTTTCTATTTTTATTAGTGTTGCGAAAAGTTCCCAGCGCGAGAGTAACTATGACGATGCACTTACTAGTATTCGGTGGGAATCCTTTTGGTTTTTAAACTCAATGTTTTATTTAGTTAATCAAATTAGTTACAAGGATTCCGCGGCATAAGACCGTGAACACCATCTCATGGGAGATAAAACCATGCATTACTAGGCCTTTCAAGGCGCAGTTTAGAATGTGGCGCACATCCATATGTTCCATTTAATAAACTGCAGTCCTTTTGCCTATACTAGGGGCGTCCGTCAATCTGACACGTTGGATGCAACGTGTTGGACGGGCGGGTAGCGCTCTTAGCGAAGGGGTGCATCCTTTCCTAGGCGGGGTGGGTGGTGTGTAGCGTCGGGCGTAAGTCCAGGGGGCCTAAGAACCTCCGTTGCCAGCTGATATTAGAAGTGCACCGTTTGTACGTCATAGTTGCTCTATTTTGCTTTTCAGTATTTGCTCTTCAAGCATTGTAAAAAGCTCTTCGTTCGTACTTCAAATTCATTCTGTCACGTTCACGGTTCTCGACCCTAAACACTCATCATTCACACTTCAGCATCACGAACTCTATCACATAATCATTTATCCACCCGCATACCCCAGTATAGTGAAATATTAGCCCGTTAGATGTTTATGTACTAGTCATGTTTTTAGATCAGGATTTTCTATTTTAATTAGTGTTGCGAAAAATTTCCAACGCGAGAGTAAATATGACAATGCACTGACTAGTATTTGGTGGGAATCCTTTTGGTTTTTAAACTCAATCCAATATTTTATTTATTTAATCAAATTAGTTACAAGGATTCCGCGGCATAAGACCGTGAAACACCATCTCATGGGAGATAAACCCATGCATTACTAGGCCTTTGCAGGCGCAGCTTTAGAATACGGAACATATGAAAATATGTTACCATATTCTAAACTGTAGTCCTTTTGTCTATACTAGGGGCGTCCGTCAATCTGACACGTTGGATGCAACGTGTTGGACGGGCGGGTAGCGCTCTTAGCGAAGGGGTGCATCCTGTCCTGGCGTTACGACGTCCAGGCGGGGTGGGTGGTATGTAGCGTCGGGCGCAAGTCCAGGGGGCCTAAGAACCTCCGTTGCCAACTGATATTAGCAGTGCACCATGTTTTATGTCATAGTTGCTCAGTTTTGCTTTTCTGTATTTGCTCTTCAAGCTTTATATTTGCAAAGTCGAGTCACTTTTATTAAAAATAAAACCCGCTGGGGGGGCCAGCCCATATACTAAATCGGAGCCGTGAAATTTCGCCGATATTCTTACTTTTAATAAAGTGAGAATATCATCTTTAGTTTTTGCTAATCATACGTTTTAGCTTAGGCATTTCAGCACACATGAAGAAAACTGGTAGGTGAAAATACCTTTGGCCTCGTTCATTTTTATGCCCAAAGCTCATTCGGGTACTTAGATGTACTCGCGTGGGTGGAGGGCGGTGGACAAGGTTTAGTTTTAAGTGACATTTTGGCGACTGACAAAAGTAGTGAACCAATAGTGAACCACGATAGAAGTTCCACATGTGTGTGTGTGGTTAGGATGTGGGATTTCTATCGTTTATTAACAATCTTAACTTGCTATAACATTACAAAATACTTATCAAGGATAAATTGAAAAATTTTTACATTAGATAATTCAATAGAATACGAAAATGAAATGTATTACTTTAGCATAATGTTCACTATTATTTGTCAGTCGATTTCAGCAAAAAGGTATGATTTTATTAGAGTGTGAAAGTTGAATTGAACTCGGGTGTCGGAGGCGTCCCGGGACGTTCTCCCTAGGTGTAGGCATTTTTGCACCCGGGTGGTTGTATGAGAACCGTGGAGTGAATTTTTGTGAGAATGATTTTTGCCCCTTTTTAAATATAGCGATAGGCAGGCAGGTAGTTTACTTCTGGTGTGATTGAGTTTAGTTTATAAGTAGGCAGGGCCAGAGCAAGCTTTCATGTTTCTCTTCGTATTCTCCTCTAATACGTGAGAAGCTTGTATCTGGGGTTGGAAATTAAAAAATCGAGAGGAAAAATGAAAATGCAGATTAATTAGTTGATTAATTAATTAATTTAGCATTCTCTCTTGATTTTTTCAAGGCCAAGCCTTATTAGTTTGTAAGTCGTAGTCGTGGTACTAGACCCGATTACAAAAATGAAGTATTAAAGTGAAAGTGCAGTGAAGTGAAGTGAAGTGAAGTGAAATTAAAAGTGTTTTGTGCTTGGACATTTGCAAAAATTGTGCAGGTATGCGAGTAGCGATTCAAGGGATCGTTACTCGTTTACGTGTTACGTTTTTACAAATGTCTGAGCAAACGTAACATTTTCGCGAGTGATTTTTGTGAGGCTATTGCCGAAGAAAGAAGAGGCTATATGCTGAAGAGCCCCGGCAAAATTTGCCCAGAAGAGGGGAACTACTAATGGCTCTCCATCTTCGGATGGACAGTCATTCTGTCACTATGCTCGCTAATTTGTTTTTTCATTTTTTGTGTTTTTTCTTGAACGGTATGAATAATACCGTCCAAGACGTATTGAACTTGAAATTTTACGAGTTCAATAACCAGCTCGTTGAATGGTCAATTCGCGATTTTATTTCCCCTATTTCTTTTTCGTTTATTACTTTATTGAAATAAATTATTATTTTCCTATTGATTTGCACATCAATTATATTTCATGTTCCCATTTTAAATAGGTTCAATTTATTTAAAACATAGTCTGGGTGAGTTCTCATTTTATTAAATATCTGTGAGATTGTAATGGTAATTATATTTTCTGTTCTCGGCATTTTTCATTTCAATTGTAATCGAAATTATGATGTTAATTACATTTTCTATTTCAGCATTTTATTGTTTAATTGTTATTTTGTTAATTGTTCCTGAAAGTATGATGTTAATGATATTTTCTATTTCAGCATTTTATTGTTTAATTGTTATTTTGTTAATTGTTCCTGAAAGTATGATGTTAATGATATTTTCTATTTCAGCATTTTATTGTTGCATTGTTATTTTGTTATTTGTTACTGAAATTATGATGTTAATTATATTTTCTATTTCAGCATTTTATTGTTGAATTGTTATTTTGTTAATTGTTAATGAAGTTATGATGTTAATTATATTTTCTATTTCAGCATTTTATTGTTGAATTGTTATTTTGTTAATTGTTACTGAAATTATAATGTTAATTATGTTTTCTATTTCAGCATTTTAGTGTTGAAAGTTTTATGTTGTTTGTTTTGGGGGGTTTAATGATTTTAGGGAGGTCGCTATTTTATTTCAGGAAATTATTCTCTTCTTATTGATTTTATATGTAAATCATATCTGATGTTCTTACATCATATATTCGTATTCTGGTGTCTTTTATTAAATGGTTCTGAGGTTGCAATGTTAATTGCTTTCTGTTTTCGTATTCTACCCTTTCAATTGTTACTGAGACCATAATATTAATAATCATCTTTCCTATTACAGCATTTTGTTATTCAATTGTTATTTTCTCAATTATTTCTGAAATTATGATGTTAATCAACATTTTATCGTTTAAATTTTTATTTAATGTAGTCTCTTTTTGAGAATTTTATTGTTTTAGGTGGGTCACTAATGTAGCCACCTCCACGCGGTGTGACCTGGTAATCGGTATCGTTTTCTAAACATTTATCACACGATAATTTTTAGAAAACGATATCGAGCTGAGAGCTACGATTCGGTTAATATAAAGTAGTAAAATCAATTTTTCGAGCGAACACGCTATCTTTTTTATTCTGATTCTTTTCTTCGGAAGGATCTATCGATCCTTTAGCCCCGATGTAGGTTCCAAGATTATCGTTCTTAGCAAAATTCAGTTCTACTAATATCAGTCTATGAACACCCCTATTTCACACCGCATTACGAGTAGTAAAGTTTCATTCATTCTATAGCGAAGTTTAACTTATTTACACGTTCATGAAAAATTGCACAATTTATGTGCAAAAAGACAATTCGTGACGGGTAGATTTCCAAGTCAGAGTGATGTATTTGAACACATTTTGCGTATTCATGAAAATTTATTCTGAGGAGGGAGTCGTTCGAGGATGTTTTAAGTTTTTATTAATTTTCACAATCAATTCTTTTTTCAATGCAAAGAATTCTTAATTAAAATCATTTTCCTTTTAATAAAGTATCAAGTTCAATTTTGACATTAAATTTTTTTTTATTAGAGTTTTGCATTTATTAAATTAGTGTTGCGAGAAATTTCCAGCGCGGGAGTAACTATGACAATGCTCGCTCTAGTATTCGGTGGGAATCCTTTAGTCTTTAATCCCAATCCTTTGCATTATTATACAGGGTGATCCTTTCGCTTTTGGACCCAAAGAAAGTGCCACAACAATAGAATGAGGAAGTCGACATCCCATTTCTGTCACTGCTTACTTGACAGTCATATTTGATGACTAATTAATAATTGTATCATTATTGCTATGGTACATTTATTAATTATGCAGCAAATAATACGAGCGAATTGGCTGTGAAAATGCTTTCCTTTCTATTTAATCACTGTTATATTTTATTCACATCCGGTTGTATCTATTGCTACCTGAATTCCCTGTTTCACATTTTGTTCGTTTTTAGATCTTATATTTTGCTATTTGTTCATAAATCTCTCTTTTTAGGTCATATATTTCGCTAGATCCAGTCGTATCCATCACTATCTCGAACAAATGTTTCACGATTTGTTCGTTTTTAGGTCTTATATTTTGCTATTTGCTTCGGGGTCCCAGATACCCCAAGACTATGAGTTTCTGATGGAGTCCAGCTTTATAGAATACATCACCGAAAGATATTGCAACATGACACAAATTAGAGGACTTCTGAATGCGAAGGGTTACGGGATTGCAATGAAAAAAGGTAAGCTTTCTTTTAGGTAAAATTTAATTTATTCAAATCAATTCTTATCAACATAAATAATTACAGATTCACCATATCGTCATGCACTGAACACTGCCTTATTAAAATTGTAACAACGTGGTTTGATCACAGAGTTAAAGATTAAATGGTGGACGCAGAAACGCGGGGGTGGAAAATATCGAGTATGTATTCGTAAAAATTGGAAGAAAAATTATAACACGAATTCAAAACTCAATTTTTATAAAATTAACGTTATAATTTATACGAAGAAAGCTGTCAAAGTATGGCAGAGGAGCTGGATCTTGACAACGTGGGTGGTGTTTTTCTAGTATTAACTGTTGGTGTTGCTGTCTCCTTTTTCTACACCATATTCGAACTTCTGTGGGAGATTGGTTGCACATCTGTACGCGAAAATGTAAGAATAATTAAATAATTTCAATCACATCTTGAAATACAATGTCTTAGAACTACTTTAAATCTTAAACCTTAGATCTTACCTTAAATGCTAAAATCTATAGGAAGATCCATTTTAAGTATGTCGTATTCACTTTAGATTTCCTTCAAAGAAGAACTCATGGCTGAAATTAAATTCATCGTAAAATGTGGTAGTACGTTAAAACCAGTAAGAAGAAGGAAAGGTTTTTCCAACGGAAGTGAAGAAGATAGTACTCGAGGTTGCACTCCTACTTATGGTTTTATTCCAGCGATCAGGATACCCAATTCTGAGGATAAATAAATTTATGTATAATGGAATATTTTATTAAATTACGAAACATGTAAATAAATACAATTTGATTAAATTTATAAATGTAGTATTAAATATTGTTCTTCTCTTTATTTCTATGGACACAAATAACATACCAGCAGCACAGATTAACTGTGACGACTGAAATGTGAAATATGAAGGGCGTGAAGTGTAAGATGAATTTTACATTAACGTTCCATTAGTGGAAATTGCTTACATATTAGTATCAACTATTTTCATTCAAAGGTACAATGATAAAATGACATTAAATAATAGTGAATTCAATATTTCTTATATATCAAAAAGAAATATGATGGGTTAATATTATTATTGGCCAACACATTTAATCTGTGATGTTTTCAAAAAGACTTTGATAAAATATATTATAGCATTTACAAAACAAGGATTAAATTATATACATTAAATAAAATCATAACCAATAATATCGTATAATAAACATGAAACATGAACCAGCAATTAATTGTAAATATAAAATAACAGAAAAAATAAATCGATCGTTAAATCAGTTAAATAAAATATATTATTTGCACTAAATGATAATACTGTATTGGATCAGATCCAAATAGGAACAATGAGCGTTAAGACACGTAAAACTTACCAATTTTTCAAACTAAACTATAAAAAGGACGTTCATAAAAGGAATTTCATGATTATATTCTGGTTTATCTGGTTTACCTTATTTGCATCGTCAGTTTCCCCCAATCAACGAGGAAAAAAATGAGAAAAATGTTATCTATTCAGAGAGTTAAAATATATTACGTCTGTATACATTGTAAGCGAAACACCCTCCCTTCTACGATTCCTCCGTGGATCTTATATGTCGCTAGATTCGGTCAAACCCATCACTACTCCGAACAAGTGAGTTTCACGATTTGTTCGTTTTCCGTTCTTATATTTCGCTAGATTCGGTCAAACCCTTCACTACTACGAACAAGTGAGTTTCACGATTTGTTCGTTTTCCGTTCTTATATTTCGCTAGATTCGGTCAAACCCATCACTACTACGAACAAGTAAGTTTCACGATTTGTTCGTTTTTCGTTCTTATATTTCGCTAGATCCGCTCAAACCCATCACTATTCCGAACAAGTGAGTTTCACGATTTGTTCGTTTTCCGTTCTTATATTTCGCTAGATTCGGTTAAACCCATCACTAACCCGAACAAGTAAGTTCCCCGATTTGTTCGTTTTTCGTTCTTATATTTCGCTAGATCCGCTCAAACCCATCACTATTCCGAACAAGTGAGTTTCACGATTTGTTTGTTTTTCGTTCTTATATTTCGCTAGATCCGCTCAAACCCATCACTATTCCGAACAAGCGAGTTTCACGATTTGTTCGTTTTTCGTTCTTATATTTCGCTAGTTGCTACGGGGTCCTTGAAACCCCAAGTAACATAATATCGGTGTCGCCGGTATCTCGGGGTCTCAGACACCCCGAATGCAGTAAATTCGGTAAGCAAAGAGCGCCATCGGTGCTTCGGGGTCCTTGAGACCCCGGATGATATAATATTGGTATGCAAAGATACTTAACGGCGTTTTGGGATCCTAAAGACCCCAATATGATATCAGAGCGGTACGTAGAGACCGTGGCTGGTGCTTCGGGGTCCTTAGCACCCCGGATGGTATAATATAGGTATGCACAGATACTCACCGGGATTTCGGGTTCCTTAGGACCCCAATATGATATCAGGGCGGTACATAGAGATGGTGACTGGTGCTTCGGGGTCCTTAGCACCCCGGACGGTATAATATAGGTATGCAGAGATACTCATCGGTGTTTCGGGTTCCTTAAGACCCCAATATGATATCAGGGAGGTACGTAGAGATGGTGACTGGTGCCTTGGGGTCCTTAGCACCCCGGATGGTATAATATAGGTATGCAGAGATACTCACCGGTGTTTCGGGTTCCTTAAGACCCCAATTTGATGTCAGGGCGGTACGTAGAGAGGGTGACTGGTGCTTCGGGGTCCGTAGCACCCCGGATGGTATAATATAGGTGTGCAGAGATACTCACCGGTGTTTCGGGTCCCTTAAGACCCGAATATGAAATCAGGACGGTACGCAAAGGATGTTATTGGCGCAGCGGGGTCCCTAACAGCCCAGGATGCAATCAGGACCGTATGAAGAGGGCACAACCAGTATAATAATTGTCATTTAATATTTTCCAGAGTTTATTTAATTTATTTCTTTTATTTTTTTTCGCATATTAAATAAGCTCATCGAAGGGGAATAACATTTATGATTGTATCCCTCTTCTACGTCTTAACCGAGGACCCCACTTATTTTATTTTTTCTAGTTATTTATATAATTTTACCCCCCTTTATAGGCCAAGGCCATCTTTGCATCCCTTACATCCCTGCATACCTGAGATGCCAGCAAACGCTTAAACCCCCATTTTTTTTTTTTTTTTTTTTCTTTTTTAACGTGGTGGAAATCTTCAGAAAGACACCTTCAGCCCCCCTGGGGAGGGGCCAGAGGTAGTGTGGGATTCTTACCCACTAAAACCACCACGGTGGCCTGCACTGGGGCTGTACGGAGAGTCCTTTGACCCTCCGCCCTGTGCGAAACTCCGCCGACATCGGGGGCCACACCCGATGCCGACACTCCTGGGGCCGCGTGCAATGGAGGCCAGGGCCCCAGCCCAGGACCCCTACGGCATCCTTTACATCCCTCGTTTAGTTAGATCTCTGCACCCCTTACATCACTGCATTCTTTTCATCCCTACATTATTTTCATCCCTACATTACATCCCTACATTCTTTTCAATCCTACATTATTTTCATCCCTATATTATTTTCATCCCTACATTATTTTCATCCCTATATTAATATCTCTTCATCCCTTACATCCCTACATTCCTTTCAATCCTACATTATTTTTATCCCTACGTTCTTTTCAATCCTACATTATTTTTATCCCTACATTACTTTCATCCCTACATTATTTTCATCCCTACATTGTTTTCAACCCTACATTCTTTTCATCACTACATTCTTTTCATCCCTACATTACTTATATCTCTTCATCCCTTACATCCCTACATTCTTTTCATCCCTACACTCTTTTCATCCCTACATTCTTTTCATCCCTACATTCCTTTCATCCCTGCATCCCTTATATCCCCGCATACATTATAATAAATATATTATCAAGACTGTTTCGAGTAAAGGTAAGTAAAGGTAAGTAAAGGTAAGTTAGTTTTTCGCCAGAAATTTTGAAAAATTTAGTTCCCTTTTTCGCCACCAGAGGGCGCTGATTCGACCTCGAAATTTTAGTTCAAATTTTTGCCGCTAGAGGGCCAAAAATTGAGCATGATTTAGTTCCTTTTTCCAAAACCAGATGGCGCTGATTCAACATCGAAATTTTAGTTCAAATTTTTGCCGCTAGAGGGCCAAAAATTGAGCATGATTTAGTTCCTTTTTCCAAAATCAGATGGCGCTGATTCAACATCGAAATTTTAGTTCAAATTTTTCCCGCTAGGGGGCGCTTTATTTTCGAGATTTTCTCGAAAACCTCGAAAAATAGCGCCCCCTAGCGGGAAAAATTTGAACTAAAATTTCGATGTTGAATCAGCGCCATCTGGTTTTGGAAAAAGGAACTAAATCATGCTCAATTTTTGGCCCTCTAGCGGCAAAAATTTGAACTAAAATTTCGAGGTTGAATCAGCGCCCTCTGGTGGCGAAAAAGGGAACTAAATTTTGCACGATTTTGCATATAAATGTTGCAAATGTGTGAAGAATGCAGGGATGTAAGGGATACAGAGATATAAGGGATGTAGAGATGTAAGGAATGTAGGGATGAAATGAATGTAGGAATGGAAAGAATGTAGGGATGAAAAGAATATAGGGATAATAGGAATGTAGAGATCAAAATAATGTAGGGATGAAATGAATGTAGGGATGAAAAGAATGTAGGAATGTAGGGATGAAACTAATGTAGGGATGGAAGGAATGTAGGGATGAAACTAATGTAGGGATGAAAAGAATGTAAGGATGAAAGGAATGAGGGATGAAATGAATGTAGGAATGAAAGGAATGTAGGGATGAAAAGAATGTACGAATGAGAAGAATTTTGGGATGAAAAGATTGCAGGGATGTAAGGGATGAAGTGATGTAAGGGCTACAGAGATGTAGGGAATGCAGGGATGTAAGGGATGAAGAGATGAAAAGAATGTAGGGTTGAAAAGAATGCAGGGATCACAGAAAATAAAATAAGGGTGTATGTATGTTCAACAATTAGGTCCGGACGGCTCGGCGGTCGCTATAAGACTAAGGGGATTTCTTTTTTTGTTTTTAACGTGAGGAGATCTCCCACCGTCCCCTAGGAGAGAGTGGCGGGACGGGGGGAGTGTCAGATTCTTACTGTCTGATAACCATACGTTGAGAAATAAAAAAGAATAATTATGAAGATATTAATTATAAGGTGGATAGGATGGGTGTCATTGGATAATTCGATCCTTTGAGTGAAATTATGTATGTATATATATCTCGTGAAAAAGCTTTGACAACATTTTATTGTTAACCGCAGAAAAAGCCATATACACTTTCACACGAAATCGATCATAGTTTGTAATAATATCGAAAATTTATAATAATTAAATGTTGTACATAAATATAAAGACGACGATGTTGCACGTTCTCGTGTGTGCCAAAACTGTACAAAAATTATTTCGAACATCTTTCGCAACGCTCGTTGAACAACTTATTACTCGGTGATTGTGGCATTTTAATATTTTTATTATATTTTTTCTTCCCCTTCTTCGTTCTTTTATCCTGTCTTCTGTTCACCAATATGTTATGAAACACTGTTTCGTTACATTTTTTTATTTCACTCTCTCGTTCTCTCCCTCTCTCTCAATCTTTTGTCAGCTTGCATCGGTAAAATTTCATACTAAATTTGCATTCTGAGGTGCGTTTACAAGTTCGCAGAGCTTTTCTTCGACTTCACATGAGATGCGATATATTTGTTAAAATCGATAATCAAATACACGGCCGGAGCGGGTGGAAGGAACGATTTTTGGTGTTTTTTTTTTTTAAATCTTTTTGCGCTTCTATAAATCTATCTATCCTATGTACTTTTTTAGCCGCGACGGTCAAGTGCCATATATATATTTATTTATTTATATATTTATTTTATTCATATAATTTTTTTTTTGCATTTTAATCGGTACTTCGAACGCAGCACGCACATTTTTTTTTAATTCTTTCACCTTTTAACATCGCAAATTATTACTGATTAACAACAGCGATTACATATTTAAACGTGGCGTGCTCCATTTCAAATCTCTATTCTTTATTATTTAATGTTTATATATGTATTTATAATAATATACCTCTTCTCTAGAATTCCTTTGCGACAACGTCGTTAATGCGATAATCGTTTTACCTATCATTTTCCATTTCATTTTTTTATATTGCTCTATCTTTATCGCGACTTCTATCCAACATATTATTTGATCATTTTCTCATCTATCCTGTTTCCATTTTCCATCGTTTTCAATTTCTCCCTCTTTTTTTTTTTAATTATCTTTATTAATTATTAGTATTATTCCCTAAACCGATTCGTTCGACACTCTCGACATGTCAATTATGCATTTATTATGTTAATACTTATTAAATATTCTTTTAATTATTGTAGATCACAGACAACTTGTTCTTAATTCATAAAAACAATTCAATTATTATTTTTTTCCATAGTGTACGTGGTTTACGTGTATCTGTGCAACTGTGTACACATGTGGAATTGTGTTACAAACCATGTGTGTGTATATGTATGTGTGAGTGTAGTTTTTGTACGTGAAAATTGTAAAATGACGGGATCTCGAGTCGAAGGAGAATCTCTTCTCCGAAATTTGTTAATGCATCATGGAATGTTAAAATTATTCCCTATACAGATAGTTTAAGTGGTTTCGGGTCAAGCACCAAAGTAATTGCTTCTCGTGGTTCTATTTTGCTCCTTTGTTTAGAGATCGATTGCAAATTGAATAATTTTTCATACTTTCCAACCTCGGAGACCAAGGTCTACTTGTTTGATCGATATTCGAAGTAACAATGACACTATGCAATATAGTTCCAAGAAGCATAATCGAATTTCAATACCTTTTGTAATTTATGAAAGACGAAGTACTATATTTATTTGTTTCTTTTTTAAATTAGATCAAAGGCTCTCAAGAAAATTGAGAGTTGCTGTTGAAAACTTATGAAATATCAGTGATGGAAGGAAAAATTGAATTGTAGGCAATTTTGTGTTTCCGCAAAGTGGGGATACATGTTATAAAATTTCCTAATGAAACCAATTTCCTTTGGCATCAGTTTTTGCCATCGATCTCAGGGGTGGTTTGCCTGCCCTGCGCCACTCGTATCGATTCAAGCGCAGCAACGTGGCCACGAAAAAACCACTGTTACTTGTTTCACCCTCTGCGCAACTGGCACCCTGTTCTGCCTCACGCAGGGGTGAAATTTCCTTGAGCCTCGCGATCGCCACGAATTCTATATTTCTGAATGTTGCGTGCGGCGTATGACAGTGTTATTCATTATTTAATAGACTTTTACATTTAGCATTATCGACAAACTTGACCCGACTCATCGTTGACAAAATCTTATTCTTTAGAAATAATGCCACCTAGTATTACAATGCGATTCAAAGAGGCCTGATTTGTAATATACATCAAATTGTTAAATGCTATTAATATTATATTAGTTTTACGAAGTAGTAAGTGAAGAGTTTCAATTGGAAAATTTTAATCAAACTCCCTTCTAAAATCATTATAATATTGTAAAGAATATTTTAAATCTCAGAAAATAAAAATCACAACCCATTATTCAAAGGTTGATAACAAATTAACAATCAGATGTATAATACAAATTGGCTACTGATTTTAAAAGTTCCAACACCACCTGAATTCCTAACAATTATACTTTTTACCACCTTTATCTCTCCTAAATGAAGCCACAAATGAAGAGATGGTATCGTCCTTCAAAGCGCAATTTGAAATTTATTACTAACCCGAATACCCGTCAATCGTCTCAAATATACCTGACCGGAAGCGTGTGTCCCAAACAATGAAATGGACGTGTGTACGTATGTATATGTGTGTTGGTGTTCGACAAAGTGTATAATCGTACTCTACGATGCACGTGGAGTGGCGTTTCTCGGATGCGTCATGATCACACAGCAAGCAGATTAACTTATTAATACTTGTTAACTGGTAACGGTACTCTTAAATTCATTAATTTACTCATTAAGCTTTAGTCCACGTGAGTAACGCGACAATTTCTCGCGGTATTCGCTGTTTCTTCTATATCTTCTTTCTTCTTGAATCATTCCAGTGCCATTTTCTTCCTTTCGACAAGTGAACCAGAGTGAACTTATTGTGCAATTAATAGTCTTTTCTCATACACGTGTGAGTAATTATGCGAGCGTGTGTGCTATCGGCAGGAATGCTTATCTTGCTCGATTTTTCTATCGAACAAGGAGGAGAGTTTCTATATATATTATTTCTCAGCGATCGAATCGACATTGACGTTCATCGTGCAGGCGTGAAATAGCTCGTTCCCTTCTACCTTGTACTCCGGAGGACACTCATCTCAGCATGGCTACACAAATTGCATGGAGAAAACGATGTGCCTCGTAATCGAAAATCGATCCTGTACCGGGTGTTTCCGAAACGATACACGAGAAAATTTTTCGCAATATGTTTATTAATCAAAGATAACAAAATAGACAAATGGTTTCACTTACAACAGTGCTCTCCAAACATTATTTATAAAGCAAATACTGTAATTTGAAGCATTATATTAAAAATAAAAAATTTCATTAAAATACCTGTGTACCTTGAATACAATTATTTTCCGCATAAATTTATTCCTTCCTATTAGAGAAAAAAGAATGAAGCTTCATCGTTGGAAAGCACTTACAAGACTACCACCCATTGTCTATGAAGAATCTCAATAACCACGATGCAAGAATCCTTTACGAATAGAAAAACGGGTTAAACCCCTCGAGAAGGGGTTGAATAATTCAGAAAAGGATCCAAGTATCTTTTCGTTTGCATCGAGTATCTTGTAAATTTGTTGGCGATGTTTCGGAAGCACCCCCCCTTTTTTTTTACGAGCCTCCAAAGGTGCCGGCCAAATATAATATTTCCTCGCTGGATCCTGGCCAAACAGCCGATACTTTCCATTCGACACCAATCGCAAAGATCGATCGGGAAAAACACTGGGTCGCCAAAGGATTAATCGATCGACGGAGATAGTTGAGAGGTGGCGCTCGCGCGCACGGGCGGTTATCGAGTAGAAAAAAGTCCGTCACAAAATATCGTTATATCTCTATCGGATAATAATTATCGCGTACAGTGTGGGGACAGTTATACGACAGCGTAATGGAGTGTTCAAGCGTTGTCGAACCAGCACTCTGGATCACCCTAACTTCCATCCAGCAAAGATAATCGTGGACGCCTATTTTGTCCTGACACGGGTATCTCAAAATCACGTTCTACCACTGAGCTATATTTATTTCTATATTGGAGCTTATTCGGAAAACTTGAGGCTCAATGAATCGAGAAGTAGAAAATCGTTTGAGGAAAATTAGGGAAAGTCCTCGAGGCAACATTTCTCCTTGCATTCTGTGCAAAACCAACTATACTAAATTGGTCCAGTATCGAAACAAAAACATGGCTTTTGCAGCGGACTGGCTAATTAACCTCGTTATCGTAATATGCTCGACATATTAAGCTCTCTAACAATATACACGCTTGCATGGATTACATTTCGCAAGCTTCGAATCGTATACTGGTTACAGGGGAGGTGGAATTACTAAGTCTTTGTCGGTGGTAGAACCGATTTGTAACCCTTTGAAAAATGAAATCGTACGATCGCTTCGAGAGAAGTTGAGCATCGTGCAACTCTGGTTCACTTCGTGGAATCGTAATCCGTCATTAAGCGCTATTAAACTTTATTTTCTTCGGCATGTTTGGTAGTCTGCTGAGAGAATATCGGCTGTTCGAGGTCGGTCATTTTTAATCAGCTACGTCGATGAGGTTCTCTCTTCGTCCCCGTTGTTGGGTCGCTTAGTGCGGTTTCCAGGAGATGTTGTTCAGACCTTGAAAGTGCCGCTTCAGACTGCTGCCGTCGGCCCAGGGGGAGTCGAGATACTCGTCGTCATCGTCTTGCTCAAGTTTCTGAAACAGAGGTATCGAGGTTAATCATAAGCCCCCGATAATTGTCAACAAGGCTGTATTATTGACTTCGACTACTTTAATTGTAAGGGAAATATATTTTTCTAAGCCAAATGTAAAGAAACGTGAAGTGAATAAAGTGTGAATTACAGTTTAAAAATACTTTTTATTTTATACCTTCCTTAATCCTACGATCACCCAAGTTTAAGTAGAGGAAGCATTGTATTGGAAAAATATGAAGTTTACAAAGAGAAAAGTCTGTCGGTGTAAGACTGTGTATAAGCAGCTTGCCAGAACTGAGGCCGCTCTAACACTCAACGAGGACAGCATTATCGATCGTATAACGCTAACGAGCAATTTCGAGTATTAAAATCCGTATTTTATCGATCATGAATATCAGGAATGTGTGTACGGGTAATCACTTTAAAATGGTAAGTGAGCTACGCTCGAGTAACGCTTGCTTTTTATTCGATGGATGAAAAGTCTATTTTATAAGTATTCATGAATGAAGTACGGTTTATTAATGCAATTTATTGTGAGGATGCATCTCATAAATTGCATTCGTAACTTCGTAAAGAAAGAAGATAGTTGAACAAGGTTCTTTTAATTCAAAGATTTTCTTTATATTTTAGGATAAATGCAATTTAAAAATCTTTGCTGACACAATGAAACTTTAATTATTAAGGAAACAAATTTTACTTTCTATCTGTCATCTATCTTATGTCGTTGAGTTTGATTTAAGAGTTTGATGACCAGGAGTATTCAGTGTACGAAGAAAGAAAGCTAGAGAGTTCATAGTCGCTCCTAGGACGGAAGAAGGGATAAGAGTAGGTTGAAAGTGGAAACGGGGTGAGTTGTTGGAGTTAGGCTTGAAACTAGGGTGGAGGTGGTTAGGTCAGAATCGATGCTCGCGTCCTTGCTTGGCCTCACAAGTGGCCTCCCTCACGCATCCCATAAAAGGGGTTTCTTCGATGTTTCGATATCAATCCAGATAATCGTGATTTTCAAAAAAAAAATTGACTGAATAACATGTTCTGTACTATTGAGTTATATGTAGTTATAGTCATTAGTAATAATTCATATTTTCTATTCATTTCCTTATCATTTTTTAGATCCCTTAAGGGTAGCTATTTTCAGCATTCTATATTTAGAATGTAGTTAAAGCAGAAGTAACACCAGAATAGTATTAAAGAAGAGGAATGGTTCAGGAATTAATTTTGATATATCATCATGAGTAATGAGCTACGATTCGAATCCTAATTAGAAGAGAAATTGATTACACGGTGGTAAATAAATTGACTCCCGTGGGACACCCTAAAGCCAATGGGAATTTCCTATTACAGCAATTCGAATCTTTGATGATCAAATGCAATCGGGCGTTGCCGATTGACCCTATTACGTGGTTCATTCAAGAAAATTCAGATTGGTCCATCGAAAGGTATGAGGATATCAGTAAAGTACAACAGCTAATTAAAAATAAAAAAGAAATTTGTGTTGTATTAACCTGAGATTATCACTGAACGTCATTTCTAAAATTTTAATATAACAAATTGCAAATAGAAAGTGTTTCCTTTTAATTAAGTACAGTGAAATATGTGAAAACAGTAAAGGTAAAGATTCGTTTAACAATCTGATTTCTATTATTCGTATTATTTGCGCGACAAGTCACTTAACAGTGAGACCCCTTAAGCAAGAGCCTCTTTGAAAGCAGGAACAAGAGTTTTTGGCAGGCAGACAACGCTATTATCTTTTCCTGCTTTGTTCGATAGTTCCCTCTCACCGTGATTTTGCTCAATAAAACTGAGGGGCTAACAATGAATCTGAAAGGAAGATTCTTTTTCTCATATTTTTCCCTCTAAAAGAAGCGATAAACTCGATACAACCTACTTTATTAAACCTTCCTTCAACAATACTGTTGCTTCCCAAGATCTTCCCACTTTTCCACTAACAACCCTGAAGTTACAAAACCTAAACCTATTGATCGAATATCAATTTTTGTATATGTAAAACTGCAATTTTATTATGCAGTGATAAATATTGAAAAATTTATTTTCCAGGTCAAATAAATTTCATCGTGTTCAATTACAAAATCGACGTTGGAACACGTCTCGATTTTATGTGGTATTTCTGGTTTAATTCCGTCACCAGGCAAATATGCACGTTCATTCATACATTGTGCGGGTGCACGGTACCACGCGATTCAGAGGCATGGAACGAGACAACTGGACACCAAGCGAAAATACAGAGTTCTTCAAAATAAATGATACTACTTACAATATTTGGAAACGAGAAATTGTATCTATGAAATTAAATTGAAAGTTACTGTTGTAAAAATTTTTAATAAATAAAATTAAAATTTTAGAAACACGATAAATTTCTTGAGTTTTATTTTAAATTATACCTATCATAGAAATCCTTAGTACGTTTCCAATTAGTACATCGAAGCCTAACTATATAATAATAAAATTTATTTTCCTTTATTATTCTACATTTGCAAGATAAATCATTTAAACTCTATCATATATTTTGAAACGACTTATAGAAATCTACTCGTTTCATCATAGACTGCGAGTCGCCACTTTGCTCATCCTCGTTTCAAGAATATCTCGGTGTAAATATAAAATCTCAGTTAAAATTATTTTCTATGAAATACTTTTAGAATACTTTTACTTGTAAGTTTTCAAGAGTTTCTTCTGATAATATATGATTTATAAACTATTTCATGGAGAGGAATTAAAATGTTCTTTTTAATCAAAGCAACTTTCGAAGTTCCACGGTATTTTCGTTAAGAACTTTTCAACAACCTTTCGATAACCGAGCAGCGAAAAGTAAATCACAATTTCCGTTCTAGTCGAGTCTCTCGTATAATTCTTTCGTCGAGTCAAAGCGATCTTCCATTTATAGCCGAGCTGAGCGAAAAACTCCGGCGACTCGAAGTCTGGCAAATAAAGTTTCCGATTCCCCATCCACTGGAACTTTTGTTATTTACGCGGCCAACGTAATTTCATACTTTCATAATTTCCCCTGCAACGCTGAAGATCAAGCAAAGAATCGTTTGTATTTCACGAGAACTGTGAAAGACACGATGGAAAAGTGGTGAATAGCAATCATGCTGCTAACTAAGCTGAAAATATCGCAACCGAATAGAAATTATTCGTTTAAATTGCATAAAATGTTGCTGAATTTAATTCTTTTTATCCAGATTAATTATAATCTATCGTTTAGTTATTTTTTTAAAACACTTTTCCCTCTCTTAAACAAGAAGAATATTAGTACTGCTTTTGGTTGGCAGCTATGAAACTTGAACATTTTTCAACACCACTCTAGAAACACTCTGTATTGTTGGTCAGTGATAAACAAACGATTCACCGTAGATCAACATTGTTGAACGGTGTGCTTTCAACTGAGATGATCGTGTGGGTGTCTCTCGTGTGGACACTTTCGCGTTTGTACACAAAGGACCCACTTGGTTTTATAAACTTCAAAACTCCTAAATAAAAAGCTATCTCAAAAATATTACTGTTGAAGAAGTATTTTATACCAAATCGTAATAGTAAATCGGAAATCTTTTATTTTTAGAAATTGACTAAGCTTTTCTAACAAACTATTTGAAATAGGTATATCATGTTTTAAAATTATTAGGGACTGAATGACACGAATTAATAAACTAAAATACAATAAATCTTGAATGAATCCGAAAAATTAGGTCAGAGATAGAAATATGGGTTGTAGATGGTTACAGATTAACCATGTTCGAGCTTGTTTTTATTACATGCGTATATTAAATTGTACACGGTATCATAGATGTTATCGTAGAAATAGCCGGCATTTTGTACGGTTATCACAGCTATAAAAATCGTCCTACATAAGATAACATCTACGTTTCGATCATAACTGTTCCTATAAATAAGTTATAGAAATGAATTATTTATTTCTTACGGACGATAAAACCGTGCAATTGCTTTCTATCGTCGAATCAATTGTGCTAACTGCAGCTACGTGTCGAAAGTTTAAAGCACCGATGGTAATTTATTATTGAAACAATAATCTGAGCATTCAGAAGAAAATTCTATGATCATCATTATTGATAGTTACAAAAAAATATAGATAATAAGGACTAGATACATAGATTGATAAGATTTCAGTTGATTCACGATAGACTGCGTGTTGCCAGTTTATATTTACTTCCGTTCTGTGCTACATCGTCTTGGCCTATTCAATTTCCTGCAACATTGTGACATTATGACGTTACGAGCGTCGTTTCAACGCCGATACAACGATTTTTATCCTTGTAATAAAACGAATGGGTTGCGAGCAACGAGTTCGATGCAGTATCAATACGAATCGCGATGCGATCAGTATCAAAGGGTCGATCAATTCGGTGACTGACTTTTGCAATATGACATTTCTAGCTTCAAAGATGAATCAGAGATTGATTTTTCATAGGAGAGCAATTTGAAAGATGTTTCGAAAGCGGAAGCGAAAGATTTAATTTTTAAACTTTGAAAAATAGACAATTTTATGAACAGCAATCTAACTCCGAACCTTGAAATTCTTTTTCTCCCAGACTGCAGTGAAAAGTGCGAGCAATTATAATTTCTGAGAAATCATCAATAGCTACGGCAACTATTAGCTACAAAAACCACTCAGGAAATTTTCCAATTAACCGTGCCCGACAATTTCACGGAAGGACATTAAATAATGGGAGAGTTCAAACAGGTCGCACGTTGCGAAGTTTCCACGCTAAAGTCGTTATCGTGCTTTCGGATTGCTAAAAGCAAAGGCATTCGAACGCCCCTATTGCAATCTAACTGCATCGCATTCGTGTCGTCCCATTTTACCTTCCTCTGTTCTATGCCATAATAATCGCGTGCTGAAAATATTTTCCAAGTTAAACTGTATTTAATTTAACTCTAGCGTATCAAATTCTTGTCATCAATTCTAAATAAGTATACGAGTATGAATTTGAGAATTGTGGATGGTCAAACAGATAGAATATGTGAGAATAATGGAAGAGCACCATCGAAGTACCTGATAAACCCAGTATACAGGTTACGAAATTGTGCGCGAAAGCAGAAGCAAGATTGTCGAACAAAGGGTTAAATGACGTTGAAAGGGTTAAACCGATGGATCCTGTAGGCCGGAAATCTGGACGCCATAGATCCGATTCGATAGGAGGAGATTAATCGAATTCCAAGCGCAGGCCGCAGTGTTTGCGCAGTCGGGTCATCGGATATCTTCGGTGTGTCGCGGGCCATCGGTGAAATTGACCGCGTAATCATCCGATATCGACGCTTTCCCGACCGTGTAGGCCGTGCCACGATATTTATATACAATCTACGACACAGGTTGGCCGTTCGTCGAGCGCATTTTATGCCTGTTCTCGCGCACAAAGGCCGTTCGATAACCGTTTCCACGCGGAGAACTCCTTCTTTCCCATTCGATGGATGTGATGCACTGGGATCGGCTTTTTGTCCTCGCGAAAAGAATCCCGACGCGGTTTTACAATGATTGGATCGATGCGAAGATGCACCTCGAACGTGTTCTTTCCTTTATGGATTTTACCCGAATAAAAGAGAAAGAAAAATATGGAATTTTGTATCTCGTACAGAATGTAAAGTCATTTTTGAAGAAAATATAAGATAAAAAAGACAAATAATTGTGTTTTTAATTAATTACTCGTTCGATGATCTAACTTGCCTATTCCATTTGTCTAAGCGTCTGCCACACCCAATCCACTTGTCTGACCACTCGCCATACATAATCTACTTGTCTGATTACCCACAATTCCCGTTTCACTTGTCAGATCTCCCGTCATTCCCATTCTACTTGTCAGACCACCTATATTACTCATTTCGCTTGTCTGACATTCTACATTCTTGTTCTACTTTTCTGACCATACACAATACCTATTCTACTTGTCTGACCATCCACCATACCCCTTTTCACTTCTTTGAAAAGCCCGTGTCCATCCATTCCACTTGTTTCTTCACCTGTGTACTTTGTGCTACTTGTCTGACAAATGCTCTACCTGTTCCACTTACGAGGCGATGCATTTTTAATACAACTTTTCTCGACTTCTAGGTTGATCTCATTTTTATTAAGATGGTTCAAGCATCCTTCTCTCAGTGGAAATTTCTACTTTATGACTATAAAGACGAAGAAATTATTAATAATTTTACAGAAAGTTTCTCAATGCAAAATGGAAGGTATTCAAAATTCCCTTCCCCTTCTTTTCTTCAACTTTTCTTTTCGCCATTAATCACTGTCTAAGAAATTTCTTGTTAGTGAACCCGAATTAAAATTTATTACATAGAATCGTCTTTTTCAATCCACTGGGCGAATTTTCAGGGCATCAATCATAAAATCGTCGGAAATTACAGATAACAAAGAAAGCATCGCATGGAGGACGACTTTCTTTAAGCTTAACATAAAAAGGCCATTAAGCATCGAGAAATCTATTTCTTCAAATTTGATATTCAATCTTAAATTTATTCGTTCATCGATTTACCGTGTAATATTTCACTTCACCCTTTTTTCGAAAGATAAATCGCGTGGAAAATCGTTTGTACGGAATGGCATCTTCCCGTTAAAGCGATTACATGACCGGAATTAACGATTCTTTTAAACCTCGCGTCTTTCTGTTGGCAGATTGACCGGAAGCCCCGCGGCGAAGTAACGCGGTTTTCTAAATGCCAAGGAGAACCACTCAAAGCCATCCAAGTGTCCCATTAAGTACGCTTATTTTCGCTCGACTGAGCCCCAAGCTTGCCATTAGCTGCGGTGTAATGTTATTAGTTGTAACATGGGGAGCACCTGGTCTTCGATATCTAATGAGCGAAATGCAGTTCGCGTTAGACTGAGATAAATTCTTGAAACCCTTTCAAACAATCCCTAAGGTAACGTTATCACTAGCACCACGGGACTAAACTGTTACCAAGATTTACGATCTGATAAGAAACTTGAACGTTAGCATTTATATTTGCAGGATGGAAAAGTGAGAATTTTTCTTTCAGTTCTTTTCTTAAGTTCTTGCATTATTTAAAAGTAAATTTTGCAGAGAAATACTTTTTATTAAAAGTTAGAATTTCTAATAAAACTTTTAAAGTATGAGTTGATTCAATGGTGTATTTGAAAAATTTTTAACTTAATATTTCTATACTTAGGAAATATTTGTTTTTAGATGCAATAATGAATATTTAGGCGGTTTCTATTGAAGACGTGTCATATAAAGACGTGTCAACGTGTCACATAGGCTGAGGATAACAAGATAATACACGATTCCTTGACACCCTTCCAATGCTTCAAAAGCCACTTATGTTACATCTTACAACAGTATACTTATTAAAATAAAAGGTTTATAAATCTATATATTTTATAAGTTTTCTTTTCTCACACTGAGGCATAAAACACTTTCCGAAGTTTTGGATGAAAAGAAAATAGAAAGATTTCCACGAGGGAAAAATATGGCCATATAAATCCATTTGATACGAGTGTATAAATTGAAGGGAAAAACGAAATTGTTCGATCGGATTGCTGAAATAGGATTCGAACCCCAATTTTTCGACTGCCAGATTATTCTAGCCCACCTATTTAATCCAACAATGAATTTTTCCTCTGAGATCGATTTTCACAAAATTAGATTTCTGAAAATACCCGATTACCATTACTTATTTCAACGTTCTGCTCTAAATTCTTACATTTCACCATCCCCCCCAAAATATGCAGCAACATTCTAAAGAGCTGAAAATGGGAAGATGGAAAGGTAAAGAAATTTAAGGTCTTCGTGTTTGACGCTTACCCCTGAATGGAGTACGAGTTGGGTATCGCATCCAGGCTTTCCCTGCTGTTGTCATCGGCCATGGCGACCTGCATGTGGTGCCCAAAGCTAGCTAGGCCTTCCCTGAAAGCGTCGCTACCAGGTGTAAGGGCGCCACTCGTCAATGCTACGGGTGTCGCGTTACTTCCTTCACCCTGTACGCCGTCTTTGTCCTCTTCGTCACCCACGAGGGCCACCTCTTCTTCGTTGTAAATCTTGAAGTAGGCGATGGTGAGGTATATCACCGAGATTATGAAAGACGGTATCGGAATCGCCATCGCGTACACCAGATTCATGTACACCTGAAGGGAACATGTCGTATGGAATGTTGTACACGAATTTTTTGGAACCATCGAGGATTTATTCTTTTCATGCTGGACTCTGAAGGGTGGAGAAAGATAAAGAAATATATGGAAAGTGGAAACATTGATTTACCAGTAAAATCCTTCGAATTGAGAAGTGGAAATTTATGATTAAAATTTGTTCCTTTCTCTTCTTTAATTAGATTAAAAATGAAATAATAGATGAAATATAATATTCAAAATCTCGATCTTACTTTAGCTATCAAAAATCTTTGAAATATTTCTTCAATAGAAATAGCAAAATTATGTCGCCAATAGATCTATAATCTACAACGTTTGACGATGTTTACAGAGCGTTGTTAATTTCAGAAATTGACACATGTAACAACGATTTTATTATCCTTTTATAATCGTCATCCAGCAGCCTTGTACGAATTCAATTCCACCCTGGAAAGTGGAGGAGCGAGAAATTTTCTTTTCTTCCGGACAACGCCACTAGAGTTCCATCGAGTGCGATGGTTTCCTCTCTTTGTCATCGGGAGGGTATTCAGACCGCTTGAAACGTATTGTTCGTCACCGTGCAGGCGGCTACGTTTCCGTAAACGTAACGGAATTCCACTATGCCTTGCAACCGCGACACCGGAAGATCGTTTTCCATGCCAGGATGCTGCTGGATCGCTCTTTCTATTTACCCTACTTGTTCCTTTTCCAATTTGTGGCTTTAGCGAGCGATCCACATGATCGATCTAATTTTTACTACGTAATTAAACCTCGTTTTATTTTTAGTTTAAATGGAAATAGAAGAAAATTGTGTAAAACAACGTGGAATTTAATTTCTTCATAAGTGCATCGATGCACTTGCAAAATGCAACTGCACTTTCTGAATGAAATTGAGCTAGTAACTCTACTCTGGTACTATGAGAAAAATAATTTCTTTGAATTTTTACCGTGCAATTACGTTCTACGGCCGCTCTGAAATTCGTCCAGCATTGTCGATAACAAGTTCCAGTAACTGGAAGTTCTCAATCGTCCTTTGTCACTCGTCGTTCTTTCTTTGCCCGTTGAAAACGGGCGAACGCAATCAGCATCAATTACTCGAGTTTGCAACAGCGAGTCTTTGTGTCCCAATTAAAGCAGATACGGATCTCCGTTAATAATGAGCAACTGTTACGTACTTAACCATTTACGGGAGGGAAAGACGCCCTGTTGCCTGCATAATGCACTATGCCCTCAATATACACCTGCAGTATCGATTCACGGGAGCGACGTTCCTGTCGACGGTAAACTCGCACAAAAGTCGAGCACCACTACAGGCCACTTTTCGCGTGACTCGTACGTGCAAGCACCGGGCGTAAATCGGCGATGTCTAGAACGCGGTAACCGGGTTACACTCGAAAGGAAAGGACACGTCACTGCGACGAGATTCCGATTCTTATCCCCGTCGATTGCCCTAATGCCAATACAACTCGTCGTGCCGATTTCCCCGCGCCGTTTTGTTCTCTGCTTACCTTTGCAACATCCTCCAATACCGAAACCATCTCCATTCTACGATCAATTCAAATGTACATACGCAGGTCTTTAAGTAAGATCGAGATTTATAAAAGAACCATTTAAAAAAAGGAAAAGTTTCACACCGATTCGCAGAGAAAAAAGAAGTAGACGAAAGCAGGCGATAACGATGTTTGCTCCAGTTTCGTTTCGCCAAATGAAAAGTACGGGAAGAAAGGAAGATTCTCTGGTACATTTCAACTGTAATACCGAGTAAACGTGGAGCGCAAAATAAAAGCAACTGAATTATACACACGAGCAGACGGTTGCAGTTGCATACGCAAGTGCAATGTCTCGGTTCATGCACTTTACGCACGACACCGAATGCAAATTGGATAAGCTGACAAGAAGTTACGACTTGGAGAGTTTCCTGGACGAAAGAGGGTTTGAAATTTGAAATGGTAATTCGAGGTGACAAATTAAAAATTAATCCACTGTTATAACAGTGCGGTATCCTTATCATTAATGGAATAAAATTTTTACAAGACTACTAGTCTAAATATTGAAAGAAATTAGAGATAATTTACCTAAGTGTACGTGTGATCTAAATACCGATCAACTTTTACCGCATCGAAGCTATAAACTGACGGAATTCGTAATGCACCTAGATAAAGTTCACCCCGACACCTGTCTACAGTTTCGTCCAAGAAACTTTCTTTCAGGTCGTAGCCTCCGTTCGCGAGAATTTATAGAGAATCGTAGAGACCTGCCACATGTCGAGGTCGCTGATGACTATCCCGGGGTCCACTTTCGAGTAGTAACAGCTAAAGTTCTGCCCTATGTTGGCGTACTGCCGGTAGAAAATACTGCAATTCAGCATTGGAGGGTATCCACAGCCTTTTACGTTGGGGAACAGCTTGGCCCCGGTGAAGTACCACTCGGAGTCGTTGCCCATGAGCCCTGCGAACTTCGCCTCGTTATCATACAGTCGTCTCTCGCCTCCGTCAACAGAGATTTCCGTCATGGAATACAAGTAGACTTTGTTACGGAATTTCTAGTACATGCTAGTGTACACGTGACAATGAATTCCCTTGTTACATTATGGGGGACACGTGTCGGGGGTACTTGTAATTGTCGCAAGTACCTGACCATTGGACGGTCGTGAAGTTTCTGGAGGACAGTTTTGCTTTTTGACATTTCGCAACTGGGTCAAATTAAGATGTTCTCAAGTGCGTGCAACGGTTCGCGAGGACGGTACTGTTTCGTTAGTTTGAACCGTGGCTTTGTATGGGACGTTTTGAGAGAAGAGAACTGTCGTGTTTTAGAGTTTAATGTTAATTGAGCTGACGTGAGAAGGTTTAAAATCATAGGAACTGAATTTACTTTTCTATGAATTTCATAGTTAACCTTCGTACGGCGGACCATGGAGAGAGCCACAATTTTAATTTAATTTTACCTTCCATATCGTTTTCATTTTCTAAATTTTACCCTGTTCTTTTCAAAATTACTTAAATTATTTCCGCTGTTCAAAGGTTAAATAAATAATATACTTATCTTAAACAGACCATAATAAGGCATTTAAATGCCGAAAGAATATCTCTCCATAAAAACCACACGCCTCCCTGGATAATGTGGGAAAACTGAGCAGAGAAATTTAAAAAATCTAAAAAGGTCTCAGCAGTTTGAAACTTTTAAGAATGTCTCTTTTCTCACGATAGCCCCGTGCGACAATTCAGTGTCTAGAAGAATACGGAAGTGACTGTTATATCAAGAAGGAAGTCACACGAGGGCTTTCTGTAAGGAGAGAAAAGAACTTCTCTTATCTTCAACATTTACTCTGTTAACAGAAAACGCTCGCGTGTATAAACACCGCTACGTTCCCGTAAAGAAAAATAAAACACCTTCCCCTTCGTTTATTCTCATGCAGCAGGGGGTTTCTCTTTGCAGAGGAACATTTAACAGGATTTGCTGGTGCTTTTACCATGAAATCGTTAGAGATAAGTAAACGGTAGACACGACACCACAGGACGTTGTCCTGTACCTGTAGGAAAGGGTTTCGGCAGTCCATCTTCGTCGTCCTCGGCGAAATCCTCGTCGAGGTCCTCCACGTAGTCATACTCCCTGAGGGAACGCTCGTAACGCGGTTTGCCCATCGTCGTGCTGTCTTCGTCATCCTCGACACCTCCTACCGCCCCGCCTTCCTCACCTTGTTCATCGCTATCCTCGGACGCGTTAATTGGTAGCTTGTAATTGACGCGTATTTGCGTGCAATCGTACAGCTCCTTGGTGCAACCCTCTCTACAGGACGTCCATGAGCAGTTGCTCGTACCTGGACTCAACGGATCGTTCATGGCTGAAGATTCGTCAACGATGAAGACAGATTTAAGGGGAGACGAGAGAAGAGATACCGAGCCAACCATTCACGACAGACACAGAGATCTGATGCACGTGGAAAACTTTTCTTATTAGATTTCAAGGAATTCGTAATTAACTGGGAATATCGTGACCCAAATTCAACCATGCATCGAATAAAATTAGATACTCGAATGGTATCGAATTTAGAAAATTGATGGAATTTTCATGGCTCGAGATTCCAACTAAAGTGTACTATTATTCTTTCTGAAAAATAGTTACCATGAGTAAACGTGTTTCTATTTCGAAGTCGAGAAATTCAATCGGCTAGAATCGTTTGTCAAATGCTAAGAAACAAATGGTTTTTCGACGTGCATCACGTTACACGAGGAATGAGAGACAAACAGAGAGAAATAGAGAGAATTTAGATAAAAGATACAGGCAAGAGGAAGTGCCACGATCACGAGAATTGAACGCATAAATCGTGTGGAAGAGGACACGAGACAAGGGGGTGAAATCGACGGAGAAGGAAGAATGCACGGTGACTTCCTGCAGATTCTCGAGAACAAGATAACTGTAGCAAAGTTCTCGAGGTAGTCCCTGAGGCAGGGGTTACGAAATCCTTGCCCTGACCTCGTCTTTTTTCACGAAAGTTTCACAGAAAAGAAAGATGTAGTTGACATACAGAGTCACGCTTTTTGGATAATTTAATTTTGAAAAGAAAATTAGAATTCAAATTTTTAAGAGTAATATCGATGATTGAAAGGTGTTAAAATGATTAGCTGCAAAATTGTTTGAACACATATATGGTAATATTAATTTTAGTTAGTGCAACTGGGTGTTGCTGCAATAGGGACGGTAACTCGTAACTGTTAATTAACCTTAGCTTCGACACAGCTGTCGCATGGCATCCAATATAATCTAACTTCGTGCATTTTCTTCCCTTCGCAAATTCACCCCCGAGTTCGTGTTCTCGTTGAAATCCTATTACCAGACATCAGCTACATCTAATCATCCTGTTTGTAGTTATTACTGTCACTTGTTCAACTGCATCCAAAAGTGTTTGCATTAACCCAACAACATTGTCACGAAGAAGGATCATTTCAAGAATTAAACGCTTAATAACGAGACACGTGAGTGAAGTTATGGGGATGAAATGAAGAAACATTTGTAAAAGATTTCTAATTAAAACAGCGAGTTAAAATTTGTAAATTTATTGTTGAATTCTACTAACGATCAGATGCATATATTTGCACAACTAAAGTTGCATAATATTTTGATAAGGGCTAACACGGAAATTGCAATGCAACGAAATCAAATTTGTATAACATGGTTGTAGATAGTAGAAATCTACGAGAAGACCAACAGTGCATTTGACAGGAGAGGGGTAACCACACTAATGAAAATAGAATATTAAACACCAGGAATAATCAACATAGAATGATATTCAGAGAGATGAAACGTTATGTTTGTACACAGTAAAATTTCATACGAAGTTCTATAATTTTATTAAAATTTGAAATTTCACATTTCGCAGAGCTGCCAGTATTTAAATCATAAAATACCGCTTCTTTTCTAGCACCACAAAATTATTAAAAATAATTGGCAAAAATTCAACGCGACTGCATTAAAGTCAGAATTCTCGATTCCAGTAATTACGAACATACGATGCTGTGTACATGCATGATCGAGTATGTGCGCATACATATCGTACATGAAGAAGTAGACGTCGAAGTACTCGAACGTGGAGAATACCTGCAGCCTACAGCTTCTGGCATTCGACAGAGGACCTGAAGTGTAAGCACAAGGGTGACGAAAGAGCGAACGGGTATCAAAGGGGTGGGTGTACGTTCGGATCGCTCGAGACCGGCTCGAATATCGTGAATACAAAGACACCAGTTGCGTCGATCTTAGCCTCGTCTTCGTCTAGTGCCTCTTTACCGCCACTATTACATCGATATATCGATAACCGAGTCGTTTACGCGAAAGCTCCAACCGACACGTCCAATTTGCGAACTCGTTTCATATCGCGATCTTACTCATCGACTCGAGGTTCGCATAATTACGCGGCGACGCGTCTAGACGTTAATTGGAAATTTCATAATTAGGTAAATTTTAGAATTATTCGTTGATGAGAATTTTTCAAACTATAAATAATAAAATTTTCGAATAGATTCATTTAATTCTAACGCCATTTAAAAATCTTGTGGTGGTTGGAAATATTTTTATAATATTTAATGTTATTTATTTTTCAGAATTTCATACGACTCCACGATTTAATGATCGCGTGTTTTACGGGGATCAAATATTTAAAGAGTGGGGCACGATGCGGTGGTGCGTTTTTCAATGGCAATCGATATCGATATCCATAAATAACGAGCAATTATTTAGAACATCAAAAGCTTCCATGCTATAGCCTCATTTTTCCGTTTCCTCGTGTACAGCAACGAGTTCGAAGACCAATATTTACCAGCAATTTGGAAAATGAAATTTTCGTCCAAATATAATTTCGACGATGAATTCCCGCGGACAGAAACATTTTACGACCACGTCACTTCGAGTACTCGAAAAAATTGATTGACATACCGGCTGTGCACCTGCTGGTCGCGCACGATTACAAACGCTTCGGAACAGAGAAAGCTTTTGCCACCCTATCGACCCTATCACTCATCTATCCAGATTTTATCCACGTCATTTAAATCTTGTTTCCATTAAAATCAAACTGCCACGAGGTGAACGAATGCAAATGGAATATGGATACGTTTCTTTTCCATCTACGAAATAACATTCATGCGTTAAATACCGGGAAGAAAATCTCTGAGAAAAAATCTTGATTTAGTAAAGATATTGCTGGGAAAGAAAAGTGTTAAGAATAAATGGTGACATATGAAGTTCTGTCTTCCTGGAGTTAAAACCAGAAAATAGAACTTAATTTCGTCGCGATGCTGTTACAGAAATGTATGTCACCGTGCAGGTGACATACTCCTTTTAAATAATTAACAAAGGGCAAATGTCTGTCGGTCGCGAATTCAGGATCGTTTGCTGAATATTAAATTAAATGTCATTGCCTTCGAGTACTGGAACCAGTTATGGAATATTAATTCCATCGTGCGAGTCGTCGATCGGCTGTCCATCAAAACAGTCGTTGTTACATCCGTCTGATGCTTGGAAATAGTTTTCTCAATCATTCATGCAAATCGTATATTCCGGTTGTGACCCTATTTCGTGAATTGGAACGAATCGATTTATATATTCCGCAATTTCTTCCACGTATATCCGGTTTACGATGGATTTGTGACGAAACTATCATTCTCCACGCCAACAAAAATTAAAGATCAAAATATACTACATTGGTAGTTCTTGTACTTTTGGAATTTACAGTAATTAAAAATTGCTTGGAAATTAATTAGAGATTTTCTGATTTTCTGAAATTAGTATATAATGTTATTGAACACACCCGAGTTTTATGCAAATCCTAAGTGCATAAACACTGTCACACGATGCATATTCATTAACGTAATAATTACACTATTCTAAATATTAAAGAACATACTGTTAAGGTATACTACGGATAAGCACAATAAATATGAAGATAAATGTGTCTCTGCAAAATGTGAAATGTCAAGGATCATAAAAGTTCAATTTCTTTTAAATACCTTGCAACAAACGACGGTGCATTCGCGTTGCAACGGATATCTCCAAATACTCCTTCGATTTTCGATGCACATCAAATGCATATGTATTACTCACACCATCGAACAGATACGTGAGAATTATTGAAAAAAGGTGGAAGAACGATATATTACATGTATGGAGAGGAAACTCCTATATTTTATTATAAATTCACGTACAAACTCACGTGCTTGAAACAGGCGCAGCTCACAGTACACAAACCTCATTTCATTTCATTTCAGGTTTCCCCATTTAGGACTTTACATCGGTCCCTTTTTGCCCACCGAAAATTATCAGCCACGCGCCGTACCTTTTCTTCTGTTTCTTATCCTTTTACATCATACTACCTCGCTCCATTACAACCCCCTTTTAGTCGCCTCTTACGACAGGCAGGGGATACCGTGGCCGTATTCTGATCCCCCCGAGCCACAGGGGGCTACACAAACCTCGACCGGAACGTTTGAAGAACTGGAAACAACTGAGCTCTGACCCTGCGTCGAGCGCGTGAATTTGTAAACAAATCCTGACACGTCTCGTTGAACGGATTATAAACAAAAAATCACTGTCGATTTTGGAAGAATAAATTAAAATTTTAATAAACATGCGTTACACTAAGGATTTATTTAATCTAATTATTTCGAAATTTCTTTGTTTATCAAGTATTGATATTTTCTAATAAATATTTGAGAAAGTCCATCATTTAACCATAAAACCTACAGGAACACCACTAAACCAATAAAAGGAACTTTATCAAACACAATCAAACTCGATCAAACTAATCACCATTAAATAATCCATGAATTACTTTATCGATCAACATTCTCTAATCACCTAAGGAAGAGAAAAGGTGTCTTTTTAGAAGAGAAATTCTAAGGGGTCGCATGCAACGACATCAACGAAAGCTAACACCAATCGGAGGTAAGAAATTGTCGCGAGGGGGTCGATGAAGAATTATTTTTTTTTCACCTCTCCTGGACTCAACGTCGATGGTGATACACTCGGCTGGCCGAGTGTCAAACTGCATGAAGATAGTGGTGAAGGCGGGGTCGATGACGAAGGGGACCAAGAAAAGGAAGGCAAAGAGGCTGAAGGTGCTGAGGAGGATGAAGAACGCGGTCGTGTAGAACAGCAGCTTTTGCAGGAACGTCTGCTTCTCCTTTTCCTCCGCCATCTCGGAGAACAAAACGGCAGTGCTCGTTTCAGGGATGTGAACCTAAGTGGACGTCGTCGTCGTCCTCGGCGTGCTCGCTGCTCGTCGTCACGTTGGACGTCGATGAGGCGATACGATCTGCGGATTCGTTTCTCCTTTCATTGGACAATTTTCTTTCTACCTTCATTTCTCTACGGAAGCTTCTTCGTTTTCTCGAAACGAGAACATTTTTGTAAAAATATTTGAGGTTTTTTTTTGAATAAAATTAATCTATTAATTTGATAATTTTTTGGTGGAAAGAGTTATACTTCTTTTCCCTTTTTTCTTTAAATATGTACACCAATTTTTTTCGAGGATTCCATTGAACAATTTTCACCAAGATTCTTAGCTGTTTGAAGAAATACTTGAACATAAAACTTCCCTTTCATCGACAACGGATTCTATCATAAAATATTGTCACAAAATTTATGATACATCATTTCCAAAAACATATGATGTATGAACACAGTTTATGTGTAAAATACTCGTTTCGAACGCGATGCAACCCTATCTATCTTCTCATTATTCTGTAAGTAAGACGAAGCACAGTAATTCGAATCGCGAAGCAATCGCTTCATTCATCGAAACAGCCCGTGCCAATTTCGTAGTATTAGGTGTAAGAAATTACCATAACAATGAACCGACGATACGAGAGCTATGAGCTTCCCATTCACGACTTCCTGTAACACTGTCGACGAGCAATTCCATTTGGATCCCATCACGTTTCAAACTTTTACGGTATTCGAGGCGTAGCCTCGCCTTTTTCGAGAAGTTTGATCCTCGCTGCCAGAGTTTCAAAGTTTTCCCAACATCGTACGTGTTTTCATTAGATTGAGTTTCAACTGGAGCAAAATATTTTGCAGTAAAAAGTTTCCGTTTATTTTTATAATGCGCGAGAATTTTGTATTCCTCTAATTAATAAATTAATATTGAAAATGACAAAGTATACTTAATTTAAGTCCCAAAGGGCCACTGCTCTAATTTGAAAAAGGTTCAAACCACAGTAATCCTATGAAACTTGATCCACCCCTTTCTCGAATTCTGTCACCTTTCTACACAAAAGTATTCACGATTCCGCGTTTACTTCCGACTTCGCCGCCTCTTATTGGATTCCAAGAGATTCGAACATCACCAGCCTCCAGAACGGGCGTAGCTCGCCCTTAAAGCTTTCAATAACGCGTCGCGCAAGCTCCTTTTAATAAATTGTCGTTCGAGGAAAGGCGAACGATTAAAGCACCCCTGCCCCGCCTAGTTCGTACGTTCGTCGAAGGGAACTTTAACCACACTCGATGGTTCCGTGCACTTTAGACCGCAAACTACGGATTTGTTTTATTGGATTGCCCTGATTTACGTAGCGCCAGCTTTATAGGGGATAAAACTTAGTCCCGAAGCATCGCGTGGTTGACTTCCTTCCACGGGGGACTGCCTTCTACTGTCTTCCCTCGAACAAACGTGCAATCAACCGACGTCACGGTTAAATAAGGATACGAAATTGTGCTTAAGCTCTTATGGTGATCGTTGTTTACGAGCCTCGGGAAACGCATGCGATTAATTGAAGCTGCTGTACGCGATCGTGCTCACGGGGGTTTCAACTCGTAAAATTGCGTAACTGCTCTTAATCCTAGCGTGGATTAATTAATTAGTAGAATCGTATCTTTTGCAGTTTAAAATCTAAGGGAGCAGAGATGATATTTTATAAAGTAAAAGGCGTCCCAACAAATCGCATTTTGTAATCTTTCGCGCGTATTTTCGATTCACCGTGACGGGGAAAGGAGATTTCCACGACCGCAAAGTGTACCGTGTACCTTTATTGACTCGGCATCCCTCGGTTACGTGAGAAAAAAGCTCAAGTTCCACACACAGAAGCTCAAAGAAGCGTCCTGTGTAAAATCATCCCCGGTGTAGCGCTTTGTTCGTTCTACATTTTTGTCTACTTTATACAGCGACTGCGTCACGACAGGGAAAAGGAACGCCGCCTATACTTGGATCTTTCGTGTTACCTTTTTATCTCTTTAACGTTGCCGTTCGATACGGAAACGTTATTATTTCAATACTTCCTCGACGTTTAAAACACGCTCTTTTTCCGTACGCAAAACTTGGGAATTAAATGTGTATTAAGTAATGAAGGAAGATCTCGCGAAGAGCGCTCTTGTAAAGAGCATTCAGAAGCTTTTAATTTTTTAACTTTTCATCTATTTTCGTCGACGAAAATAAGGTTGAACTACTTAAAAGGGATGAACCTAAAAGAGTTACTTTCGTTTCGTAGAATTTCGTATCTCGAATTTCATAACTTCAGGATCTAATTTAACTCGGCTGACTAAAGAAATGTTGTACTACTTAAAATGAATTTAATTTCCAAAAAGTTACTTTTATTTTATAGGAACTTTGTATCTCCAATCTGAACACGAAATTTAATCAACCGCGGCTGACCAAAACAATGTTGCACTACTTAAAATGGATCGAACCCTAAAGGGAATACCCTTCGTTTCGTAGGAACCTTGTATTTTAAACCCGACCGGTCGAGTTCGAAATTTAATCTACCGTGGCTGATCAGAACAATATTGAACTACTTGAAATTGATTGAACCTTAAAAGAATCCCTTTCGTTTCGCGGAAACTTTGTATATCGGACTTTACCACTGCCATGGTTGTCGAAACCGATGTTATACTACTTAAAATTGATGGAAACCAAAAAGGATCCCTTTCGTAAGAACTTTGTATCTCCAACGATTGGATATTTCTAAAAGTTCGAAATTTAATTTACCTTGTCTGACGAAAACAATGTCGAGAATTTCTTGAATTTAGTAAGAACTTTGAACCTCGAAGTTTAATTTATCCCGGATGACTCAGCTACTCGAAAGAAAGCTTTCACCTCGTTGTTTCAACCTCTGAAAGAACCCTTTTCGAGTAACATTGTTCCCCGAATTGAACGATTACGACAAGTCGAAAGCTCACCACCCCGAACGATCAAACCGTCCCGCCCCAGCCTTCTTTCACTACAAAAGGGGGGAGGGGGACAGGATCGGGACGTTTCGCATTTACAGAATCACTCGACGTAAATCAACACGCTTTGTGTTAAGTGTTCACGTTGATTGCGCTGTCAAGTCCGCAGCGAAACGAAAGGAAGCATCCAATCTGTGCGAAGACTGCGTCAGAGAGTTTGCAAATGGAAGCAACCAAGCCTACATCGTTATCCAGCAATTAGTATATGCACGAACGTGCTTTCGAACTCGCCAATTCAATCCCGACCCGTGCCACCCTTCGGTTGGCCCTTGAAAACGTTCGCGAGTATTCCCTTTCAAAAACGAAACGTAATTAAAGCTGACGAGTCAACGTGAATCCTGTACCGATTCAAGAATCGCGGTCGCGTTTCCAGGACAAAGAATCTGCAATATTTTAGAAATTCAAAAGTGTCTCGTGTTTTCAATTACCCGACAAGATTCCCCTTTCAAATGAAATCTTTTTCTGTAAATTCAAAGTGGGCCAACATTTAAGATTCTCAGAGAAAGGATCATGTTTTCTTTCATCAGGATCAATGAAACAGGGCGATGGTTTTCTTCAATGGAATCCTCGAACGTCAGAGGGTCTCGAATTGACAAGGATCATGGTCAGAATCGCGACCATAACCACCCCCGTAGCCACCCAATCGACGAAGAAGCTCCGTAAGGCGCGTCCTGACCGTGCAAGAGGTCGGTTCGAGAGGAAGCTCGAGTTAAAGGAAGGAACGGTACCCCCTATGAAGAAGAAGAGAAATCGTCGGGGCTCTGCGCCCTCTTCCTGTGCCCCCGCATCCTGTCCCACCTCCTCCTCTTCCCGCGTTCCCTGCTCAGACTGGCCTTTTTCTCTCTCCCCGTGCTCTTCGTCGCCTACTTCGCCGCACTATATCACACTGTCCACCGTGCACATCTGATCGAACCAGAAAGGACCCACTCTGTTTTCCGTCAAGTCAGAGCGGGCCAGCTTTTTCTTAGACTTCTCAGTCCACTGGTCGTGGCTGCCACCTCATGGTTGACGTTGTTTCTTTTTTAATTTTTTTTCTTTCTCTTCGTTTTTTATTATCGTTAGAACGGTGTCGGTTATTCACCGTCAACCTCGAGCTTCCATCGAACCTAAAACGCGACACGGTGGAATGAATCGCGGGAAATTTTCGTGCTGGCCGCGGCGCCGACGGATGCCGGGCTACTGCAGTCGGTGGAGCTTTTGGGCGAGCTTATTTTCGAGCGACGACAGCGCCACAGTGGCATCTGGTGGCATCGACCGCCGCCACCGTCAACGACGCCGCCAACGACGCTCAAGCCAGGCGCCCAGGGCGTCCCCTGTGCACCCGGAGCCTCACCTTCTCCTACGCTTTCCTGTTCTTTGCCTTTCCATCTTACGTTTATACACGTTTGCACCCCTCTGTCTCTCTCTTTTCTATCAGTCATCTTTAACCCTTCTATGCCGATGGCTATGTCATTAAGGGCCTGGTGCTGCCAGGAGTCTCATAATGCCATTCTTTTAGGCATCAACATAATAAATAGAATAGATTTACCTAACGTACTTATGCAAAATAGAAAATATTTTCCCATGGCTGACGAAAACCAGTTTGTACTACTTAAAATGGACTGAACCCTGAAGGAAACCTCTTAGTTTTATAAAAAGGTGACAAGGAGTGTGTCCGCGTTTTCGTAACACGTTAGAGACGCTTCTTGAAACTTTATTGCTTTAGGAAGTTCCACGATTTCGTAGAAAGTAATCGTGGTTCGGATGATTCCACTCCAGTCGCGACCATTCAAAATGATTCATACCTTCACCACAGCACGTTGCTGTCTACTTTCACAACGAATCCAATCGGTTATTTGACTCCAGGAAAATTTAGAAGGTCGTGAAATTTCGGTTTATGTTCAGTCGCTATTTGTGTCGGTTTACAACGGGGTAAGTTCAATCCAGTTGATTCTGGAAATTAGCCAGGGAATTTTAATAGACGTCCTACGGTTTAAGGTCGTATCACGACGTATTTATCGGTGCCTACGATTTGTTGTTAATTTACGTAATATACTGCAGAGAATTGATCGAGAAACCATAAAATGCTGAGAGAATATGAGGAATAATTATTAGGATGAAATTTTGTTTACTGGGTTCTAATGATGACTTTCTAATAGGCTCTGTAAGATATCTAGTTTAGCTTTGATAATAGGATATCCTTTATAGAGAATCAGAATCAGTTGCACAGTTTGAGAGAAAGGAAGTTCTCTAGGACGTGAATGCACCCTCCAGGGTTTCTCTAATGACCCGCTGCTGATGCAGCCCTGGAGCTACGGCACAGAAACCAATAAGAACCGGTCCAGCCGAAGTTTGGAACAGTTGTAAATCGCTGGAACGAGATTAGGCCAAGCGATGTTCGAGGCGACCTGGAGAAATTACAGGAGTTTGTCCGGCACTGTTAATCGATCCCCCTAGTTAATTCTCAAGGAATGTTGACAGTTCATCTAGAGAATTCCTCCGTAATTAGGCATTATTCGAATAACTTTCGAATAAAAGAAAAATCTTTCATGGTTAATAGAATTTCGATTCTGATACACGAATGATCACAAATAATACGATTTTCCGGGAATGACCAATTTTCCAACTTGCAGGATTATTTCGTGTGGTTAAACGTGGCCAAAACGCCAATCGTATCAATCGTGCAAACGCGTTGCTATGTCCATTTCCGCTCGCTGATGAACAGTTGATCGATTATAACGATTGCTCGCGTTGGCTATTGTCGCTCACCAGAGGATAAATAGTGTAAGATCCATTAAGAGAGATGATACTCTCTCGAGATTATCACACTCTGCCACGTTCTGTTACGTTTGCATTTATAATCACGTGTGAGAAACGAGTCGTGCCGGAAATGGAGCAAAATTACCAACATAATTAAAATTTCACATATGACTTTTCTGTCATTCATAAGAAAGAACATGATGTCACCATAGCAAAATTCATTTAAAAATTATCAAATTACCTAATTACTTAATTTACTTTAATAAAATCTTTATCTCGACAACTTAGAGCAATCAGAATCATCAACGCTAGAATATTGCACCAACATTTTAGACTTTGTGAAGAGCTAGTCGTCGCTCCTTAGCACTCGAGAATCGAGTGCCTAAGAAGCATTTAGCCTCTAACGACAAGCCATACTGAAATCGATCAAAACAAGTCTACAGGACGTTGCACTTTCAACAATGTCGTAACGAACCATCTCACGTTGTGGATGTGGTCGTATTGAAAGTGAAGTGCACTTCGAGCACCCTCGAACCAGCCAGGTTTGTTTCTTTATTAATGTCAGATTGTTACACGGAATATTGTTTTCATTCTTTTCCTACCTTGCCATTACTACACTATTCATGAAAAAAAAATTTTAAAGATAGTTTCGGGGATGATAAGACGACCAGCATAGGAAAATAAAACAGCAATTAGAGCTTCGTAATTAGAAGCAACCAGTCTTTGAATCGAAAGTTAATACTCGCTGAAACGAATCTCAAAAACTGCTGAAAGAAACGCGAAAGAAGATCGTACGAGTTGAATGGCACTCTTGCTTCTCTCGATCTCAATAAATGTCGTAACGTGTTTTCAAATAAACTAGGCTAATGAGATGTACTCTAGCTTCCGTCTGTTTATTCATCCCTTCAACGTTCGGGGATAATATTTGGAGAGGACAGGATCACCGTGGCCTCCTTTGCCCCGTGTTCTATTAAACAGTTACCAGGATCTTGTTTGTTCGCGTGTCTGACGATGTTCTCGAAGAATTTACCAGGTTCACCAGAGTGCAAAATAGCTCGTCTGCGAGGCAATCGTATCGCGAGAAACAAACACCGTGTTTGTCGTTTATTCTGCAAGCTTTTTAACTCTACTCTCTTTGCTTTTTCCCTTACCGACTTTATTACTCGGTCGCTTGTTTACGCATGGTTTTATGGTTCCTGCAATTCCAGCACCCGTGTTTCACCATGGTACTCGAACAATATGTATTTCGAACTTGTTAGAACTGATCAATACTATTTCTCGGTACCGCGACCACCTCTTTACGGTCTATTAGTACCGCTGTTCCGGATTTCAGTAGTATAGGAGCGGAATGGTCAGACAAGAGGCTGGTAAGTAGAGCGCGTTTACGTGGATCGAACTTTCAGAACCCTTCAGTTGCTAATATCGATAATTTTTATTTGTAAAGTATATTTAATATAGACAACACGAATTTAAAATAGGCAATTGATAATTAATAGAAGACAAAGTGTCGCATCGTTAATTTTTATGTCAAAAATGAAACAACACCACGGAACACGTTTCATCAATCAAAGAAAAGCACAAAAGCTATGAACATTCCTGCACCCGGATTTTGTATTAAACTCGCGGAACACTGACAATAGTGTTACGTTTGTTTGATAAGCACGAGAAAGGCGATGAATTGCCCTTATTAGCCCTGCCAGCGAAATTGGCTCGTATTCTACTGTCGCGACATGAATCAAAGTTTTCCTTTCACCTTTTTATTTTGCCTCTGGCAGACGAGCTTCTCTTTCGTCACTGTTGGCACGTGATTAATACAGGAGTATTGAAATAAACCGAGGCCAAAATCATTTGGGTTGCATCATTAGATACTAATTTCGAGGAAGAATTTAGAAAACAATTGGGATATAATTACTTTTTGGAGAGTTGCTGTATTTCTGCAATGTGCTATACGGTAAAGTCGATTCGGACAGTTTAATTTATAATCGACACGGGTCAACAGAAAGATCAGCCACGTGGTTGAAATTCGAAGGCACGAAACAAGGAAACGGACAGCTGGTCAGAACGCAATAATATAATAGTGACCGAAATTCCTGGCGCGACTCGCGACGAATCACGTACGTGCAAGTCAACAAGCGTTGTAGGCAAGGATGCCAGGAATTTTGGTAATAATCCACGATGAATTTCGAGCATTTGCCTAGTCCTGTTATATCAGTTGCCGTTCTCCTCGTTGCTGTAAGGTGATTTCGATCGATGATGCGGTACAAAATCGAGCCTCAAATTATCACGCCTTGGGGTTTCCGAATCTGTGTTAACAATTTATCCCAATTGAAACTTGGGCAGAACCTCAAGTACTAAACTATTTAACCTGGGATAGAGTTAGTCATCAGGATGCATCAGAGCTGTTCAATTTACCATAAATATTTGACACGTCAAATAGTCTAAGATACTTTATAATTACAATTATTAAAAAAATGATTTCTCTATTTTCTAATTTAAATTTTCCATCTGAAATTTTGGAAAATTAATAAAATATTATTATTCAATTATAGTATTTAACGTATCAATACTTATAATTTTTGTACCGTAATTAGATTTTAATTTCTTCGATGAAATTTATTTCTATTAAACTGTAGAAGGGTTAAGCAACTACTAAGCGTCTTTTTGTCTCTCCAACCAACGATCCTCGGTGTTTGAGGCACGACAAATACTACAAACGACACAAACGCAACGAATCAAAGAAGAGGAACCATTGTAAGATATCGTGCTTTGTCGCGATTCTCAACGGAAGTCACAATGCCAGCGGAAAGATTGACCTTAGCAATCTAAGCGGTGTCGGGGAGCAAGAGGAAGGTTTGTTCTTAGCGCGATGCTTTCTCAGGGAAAATTGGCTCCAAGCCAATGAGCCAAAATGTGGGCCAAATGTCTTTCTCGCATCCCCGCACGTTGTTCCAGGGATTCGCTGATAATCCACCCCCCATTCCCGTAGGACGTCCGATGCAAATGACACTGGTATATCTTCGACATTAATTGTACCCTTTGACCCCGATCGGTTCTTGCTACTATCTCCTGTTCTCGACACACAGGTGTCCTCTATCAATTTCCATATATAGAATTTGTTTTTCTCTTAGATAACAGAAACACCGAGTGATCCATTTAAAAAAATGGTTTAATTTTTTAAACCCATCAGAAGAAATGTTTCAAGTCCATATTTCGAGCAAGGTACAAATATGGTACATGGAGGAATTTATTGATAATCTCATAGGTGAGTGACAATGTGTCAATCTCTCTGACATTCAAAAATATATCAATTTGAAATTGCTTTCTTTCCTGTCTTTACAGTTTTGCCAATTCCCTTTCACGATGGAAAGAATTTCCTGGATATTCTTGAAATAGTAGTTGAATTTACAAAAATGTGTATAGAGATTCATGAAAGAAAAATTTTCATGATTGATGCACGATGTCTACAGAGGGATTCTTCAAGAAATACAATAGTTCTTTCGAAACAACGGACGTACTACGCGTACGAGATTATCTCATGGATCGTTTTGAAAGCAAGATGAATTCACAACGCTATTTCCGGTGTACAAGCGCTCCGTGTAACTGATTTCACGGAAAATCTGCATACATTACGCGATGCGTCAAATGCAAATGACGCCGATAAATTTACAACGCTAGGCACGGCACGGCTACAATTAGAGGAGCGCGAGCTAAAATCACACGAATTACTCTGGTGGATGTAATTAAAATAACAACCGAAAACTCTTTCTGTAACAATATTTTCTCTGAATAAACGAGTTCATTAATTGAAAAAGAAATTTCTTTCGTTGAACAAGCAAAACTCTGACGACAGGGTTGTTCCTTTTAACTACCGAACAGAATTAATTCAATTTCCCATAAAAAAAATAAAAAAAACAAATGATCAATATCACTGGATCGCGGCTGTGTCAACTCGTTTATTTTTCCGCGTCTGATTTTACGCGCAGGGGTGCACGTACGAGGGAGTACTTTTTTTGTTTCGTCGTTATTGATTTACATTTACGGCCCAACGACACCAGTCGACAGAGAAATTATTCGACGATATCGGGAACAGGATAATTCATGCCGAAAACAACTTGTTCGCCGACGATGAATAGTTTCATTAATCATAAATGAAAACGCCGCCAGTCTCTTTTCCGCAATCCCAGCGAGCTATTCAGCGATAATAATCCGCTTCTGGCTGTTGCAGCTACGCCCTTATCTTTCTACGATTTCCAAAACGACGGCTGCAGAAGTTCAAACTACCCGTTGAGTGAATGCAACGTTACGATAAAACGTGTTGTTTTATAGAATTCATAGAATTTATATTTGTATAGAATTCTCCTTAAAGAGGTTGATTTTATTTTTAACGCTTCGGAAAAATTAATTAAATTTATGGAAATTTGTAATTAAATTTCTTAATTCCATAGATAAGAATTTTTGCTAGGAATCATTTCAAATAAGAATCACCATCATGCAAGGGGACGTGAACACCAAAACGATGCCAATATCAGGAATATTTTCGGGGTAAACTAGTCGGAAAGAAGTCGAAACGATTTTCCACGCGTGCCAACCCCTTTTCTCATTTCTGTACATCATTTCACGTTCCGCCAAGCCAAAAAGAAACCTATCCAAAATATGCATCTGGAAACCTGCGACCGTCGGTTAAAATTTTCGATATGTCTCTGGAAAGTTTTTCAGTAGATTCCTTCTCTTTTCATTTCAATACGCGTCAAGTTTGAAAAGCATCGGAAACGTGAAAATACGATGCAGAAACGATAGGACAGGTGTTTATTTTCGAATGTAGCTTGGCACATTACGCTTCGTTGCATTATCGTAACGTTGAAAGTATATTACCTTGTCTGTATATTGGTTACCGTTTCGAAATTGAGATCCGTGTGTTTGTACACTCCTTGTACAACGAGTCCACGGAAATATCAATTCCCAGACGGTTTCAGAGCTACACGCCAATTTCTTTGGCACGTAAGCCAACCGTTCGTTCTAATTTACTCACTGCAGGCGCAACTACCCTTGCCAGCCGATTATTATTCGCTGTGCAAAAAGTAAAAAAAAAAAAAAAATGGAAAGGGGATGCAGAGCAATCGCTAACGAAATTGTATTTTGTTTGCCTACTGCAACGGCAAAGTTCCAATCTAGTCGGAGAACTGCTCGGTATTATTTCTGAACAAGAGTTATGTATGATTACACGAGACAAAAATGGTACTACCCCTTGCAAGTAGAGGAGATCAATGACAACAGCACTCATAGTTAAAGAGATAATGAAAGATTACAACCATTTGATATTGATAACACGATAACTAGGTCTCGCGTATATTTTTAACGATGGAAAAGATAAACGGCAAAGTCTCGTTGATTAATCGCCGGCAGCCTATTTTTTCGCCTCCTCCAGTACGCTCGCGTTCCGTTCAAGGAAAAGCAGGAAGAGTGGTAATCATAATAAAGCTTTCCTACTGCTTTCATTCATAACTGGTCGACCGTCTTGGCGGAACCGCGCGAACAAACAAATTATCGAGAATGAATTCTTTCTCTTTTCCTAGTTGCCGGAAGCGAAAGAATGAGAGGAGAAATTGTAGACGTCCGCGGAAACGTAAGATTAGTTGGAACCTTCTTGCCAATTTCGAGCAATTTCTGTGAATATTTCCCGCTGTCTTTTCCCAGCTACTAACAGAAACATAATAGAATCGTGTCGAGCATCCTAATGACAAATATTCATCGATATTTCGTATAATACAATCGCTAAATACTCGAAACATTAGTAATTAAAAAAGAATCTTGAAATCTATAAATAGCCAGGAATATCAATTACATAGTATTTAAAAATAATTTCAAATCTTCTCAGATACTTTTCAACAATTCCATTACCCTGTTAATGGAACGAATAACAAGACAATTACGATACAATCTAATTGATTTCCTTTAAAACAGAGGGTGGAAAGTATCGAAGAGGAAAGCTTCTCCGAATCCAAACCGCGTAGCTAATTAAACCGATCGCCGCCCAGATCCCGGCTAATTAATTAAAAGAAATAAAGAAAAAAGAAAAAAAACGAGAAAATCCAGCGCGACTGTTCGGCGCCAAGTAATTTCCATTATTATTCCGACTCGCCGCTAATATCCCTTATCCCTCCCTCGAATTAAACACGGAAAGAGTAGCCGCAGAATCGAATTCGAAGGGTGTACGGATCGATATCGCGAGCGATGCGGACCGAACCAATAAAACTTCACCAACACAACAGAGTCCAGTCTAACTTCCCTCGCCGTTGTTGGAAAAACTTTAATCAGGCCAGTTCTGTTTCATCGGAGCCGAAATCAAACGTCCCGTTACGGACAATGAGGATCGATCGTCTCACCCTTCGTTCGAAAGGGATGATCGTGGTTCGTCGAAAGAAACCAACTTTCCGCCCCGGGGGGTCTTTCGCGAACAGAGAGGCTTAGAAACAAACAAAAAAACACCCGAGGTGACAATGGAAACGGTAGTCGTCGATGCTGCTCTTCAACAAGATCAGGAAATCTGATTTTCCGATTACCATTCGTGCTGCTTTTTTCCACTGTCTCTTCGGGGTCGAATGGAACAGTCTAGGAGCACGAGCCGAGAGAAAGAGGAAGTTGTTCAGCCATATCGTGGCTATACATAATTGCGAGTCCTCGTTCCTGAAAATATCGTGACACTCTGGCCGTGGACGTGAGAGTGTTTTCGAGGAAAAACTTGTCGGTGTATTGGTGGCAACAGGAGGTGGTATTGATTTTCTGGTACGATACGGCAACAACGAGGTGGAGCCATCGCAGCTCCAGTGGTAGCACCGCCATATTTGTTTCCCCCAGGAAGACCAGGGAGAGACTACGGAAAGTGGATTTTCCAAGGGCTTCTTCCAGTCGTTAATTCATCCTCGATTCACGTAAGTACAACCAGTTGACGGTTACACGTTCAAGCTCGAGCTTTTCGATGCATCGTTCGAGATTCCGGTGATCGGGAAACGATTTATCGACGCGCGACGGACACACTGCGGCGAACCGTGTCCGTCGATCGTTCGCGGTTCTACCTTTCGAACAGGCTCGTGTAAACAACGTGCGAGCGACGATTGACAGGTGGTTGTTTCCGGTTAAGTGATCTCTAACTGATATCTTTCATAGTTGTATCGAGGTTGATTCGAAATTTGGTGGCTCTGTGCGAAAATTCGACGATGCGGCAGTTGACGCAACCGCATGGACGATGATCCTGTTTCTTTCAATTGGATACCTTTGTTTCGTGAATGATCGTTTTGATTAGTTTTGATGATAGTAATGGATCGATGAAAGGTAACTATGTGTAGGAAATTTGGTGTAAAAGAAAACGTGATCGTTAATTGATCGATTGGATCTATTCTTAGGCGCAGCACGTGGTGATAGAGTACCGTGTATT